AGAGATTTTACTTTGCTCCAGGTGAGATATCTGATATCCAGCCTTTTGTTTATTTCACGGGTTAGGTAAACAGGTAACTGACGGTATATTTGCTGTACATGTGTAGTAAGATCAGTTACACAAAACACATCAAACAGATCTCTACCGAGCTGTGTCTCACTCTGTGTAGTAAATACACAATGAAAATCTGACAGTTTGAGAAGAAAAACAGAAATAATTCGAAATTAATGGGGAAATAATCCGCCTTTAAATGCTATTTTGCTGATCGAACAAACGTTTCATTAAATTTGTGTTTGCAATTTAGTTTTGTAAGATTATTTCTTATTTTTACATCATTGTTGTTTAATTGGATTCACTATTAAACATCGGTCATCGACTAAATAGCATCGAATGCTGAAAGATTCTATTCCATAATAGTTTCAGCAGAGTTCGAAAATAATATTTCGATAGAGCCTACACACGTGCACATGTGATTTATGGCAAATTTGAATTAATATAAAATCTAGAATATACTGCTCCTAGACATCCCAATATATTTATACAAATGAAAGCAGGTTTCAGATTCCTCATATTGGTACTCAATGTATCCATCCTGACAACTGATCAGTAATATTTTTAGGAGATGAATCCATTAAAGTTCTGGATTCTGAGATTTAACATTTTCACATAGGCTTAAAATTAAATCGAAACCATTGCAGGATTGGCCGAAATTTCTAATAACATGTATGGTATAAAATACATTAATGTACGTGTTCAGGACATGGATTGCTGATATTCGAGTGTGTGTATTTGTGTATCATTTTCTGTATATTTATTTATATTTATTGAAATTCTAAAGAGAAATCCACCAACTGATGTTATTGTATATAAATAAGGTGTCTATTCTTCCTGAGTTTGACTTAATAAAAAAACTTGAACAAGTAAGGTTTGAATATTCTCTGTGGATTTACTGCAGAATTATAAAATCCTGTCTAATAGAAATCATCGTTTAGTAAATAGAGCCTCAGTATTTCTGTGTTTCTGTATTTAGATAGACAGGTATGGCATTCATAGATAGTTTGATTTCTTTATTTTAATTTATTGAATTACACCCAGTACTGAACGTGGCAATATGTCATTCAGTCATTTGGAATGTAATCTCTGGCAGAGCCCCTCACCTGCTAACACATGATATCAGGAGATTGGAAAGGCGAAATTGTTAGTTTATTGAAAAAAAATAAAATAAAACCTAGTTCTGTGAATTTAAAACAATCTGAGCAATCCAGGTGAGCTGCAAATTCGTCCAATTCTATTATTTTGGTGAAAAGTGTGTGTGTGTTTTAGTTAAAATGTATAATATAATCTGTGCTTGTGTACCGTGAGGTATCAAGTCTTAAACAATTTTCTAAATTACCTGTAAATTAAGACGCAATTTTAAATTACTGATATCTGTTCTTGAAATGAATTGAATAATGTTTAGTAAAGAACTGGGCAGGGAGCATAATGCAGTACCCACAGTACAGCCAGGGCAGGGAGCATAATGCAGTACCCACAGTACAGCCAGGGCAGGGAGCATAATGCAGTACCCACAGTACAGCCAGGGCAGGGAGCATAATGCAGTACCCAGAGTGCAACCAGCGCAGGGAGTATAATGCAGTACCCACAGTACAGCCAGGGCAGGGAGTATAATGCAGTACCCAGAGTACAGCCAGGGCAGGGAGTATAATGCAGTACCCAGAGTGTGCCAGGGCAGGGAGTATATTGCAGTGCACCCAGAGCAGGGCAGGAGCATAGCAGCAGGAGTATAATGCACCCACAGTACAGCCGCAGCAGTGGCAGCCAGGGCAGGGAGTATAATGCAGTACCCACAGTACAGCCAGGGCAGGGAGTATAATGCAGTACCCACAGTACAGCCAGGGCAGGGAGCATATTGCAGTACCCACAGTACAGCCAGGGCAGGGAGTATAATGCAGTACCCACAGTACAGCCAGGGCCGGGAGCATATTGCAGTACCCACAGTACAGCCAGGGCAGGGAGTATAATGCAGTACCCAGAGTGCAGCCAGGGCAGGGAGTATAATGCAGTACCCAGAGTGCAGCCAGGGCAGGGAGCAGTATGCAGTACCCAGCAGTGCAGCCAGGGCAGGGAGCATATTGCAGTACCCACAGTACAGCCAGGGCAGGGAGTATAATGCAGTACCCACAGTACAGCCAGGGCAGGGAGCATAATGCAGTACCCACAGTGCAGCCAGCGCAGGGAGTATAATGCAGTACCCACAGTACAGCCAGGGCAGGGAGTATAATGCAGTACCCACAGTACAGCCAGGGCAGGGAGTATAATGCAGTACCCAGAGTACAGCCAGGGCAGGGAGTATAATGCAGTACCCAGAGTGCAGCCAGGGCAGGGAGTATAATGCAGTACCCAGAGTGCAGCCAGGGCAGGGAGCATATTGCACTACCCACAGTACAGGCAGGGAGTATAATGCAGTACCCAGAGTGCAGCCAGGGCAGGGAGTATAATGCAGTACCCAGAGTGCAGCCAGGGCAGGGAGTATAATGCAGTACCCACAGTACAGCCAGGGCAGGGAGTATAATGCAGTACCCACAGTACAGCCAGGGCAGGGAGCATATTGCAGTACCCACAGTACAGCCAGGGCAGGGAGTATAATGCAGTACCCACAGTACAGCCAGGGAAGGGAGTATAATGCAGTACCCACAGTACAGCCAGGGAAGGGAGTATAATGCAGTACCCAGAGTGCAGCCAGGGCAGGGAGTAGAGTGTACCAAGTATAGTTAACATAGAGAGTATAGTGGAGTAGTGATGTGCACTGCAGTACCAAGAGTATACCCATGGCAGGGATGATAATGCAGTACCTAAAACACAGTCAGTACAGAGAGTATGGTGCAGTAACTTTGACAGAGTACAGTCAGTACAGAGAGTATAGTGCAGTAACTTAAAATACAGTCAGCACCGAGTATAGTTCGGTAACTATGACAATACAATCAGTACAGATAATAAAGTACAGTAACCATGACAGTACAGCTATGACAGTCACTACATGTATACCTTGGGTGCTGTATTACAGTATGTTACAATTTAGAGCCAGTCAATGCAGGCACTGTGTATATCACTTGCAGTGGTTATAGTCAGTACTTGTAATCTGCAGCATCCCTCACATAGCAAATATGTACTCTGTATTAAAAATAAAAAACTATTATTAGAAATATGTACATTTCTTAAAAGTATTTGTTGCTAATCTAGTGATATAGTGTGTTATATGGTGTGATATAACTGTATCTTGCTGATGTTACCATATTATAGTGTATTGTTTTTCTATGTTAATGTGTGGTTCTTACAATATTTTCCAGTTGCGATTTTGCCCCCAGACTGTACAGCAAAGTGTTCCTCTTCCTAATTACCATGAAAAAAACAGCACTGAGTATACTAATTACCCAATGGGCCTAATAGTAAATGTATGGAATCTGGGCCTGAAATGAATCCCTTTGCCAGTTTGGTTAGCCTGTAAAGGGCTTGCTGTATATTTGGGTATCCTTTCCCCAAATACACAAATATAAGCTGCCCCCTGGCCCAATCCAAGTCACTGTGGATGTGACCTTTGCTATCCCAGCCCACACTCTGCAGTTAAATGGAAACAAGTTGAGCACGTTTACTTCTGATAAACATTAGCCCCCAATTCACTGGGGACCCAGGGCAGAGTCAACTAGCATTTTCCGACAGGATAACATAAGGAACACACATTGTGAAAAAGGAAAAGAGCAGATCCAAGGGGATCTAGGGCAGAATGTATGGCAGACACACACAGAGTACAGTATATATATAGCCCTCTGTCACACAGTTACCACACATTCAAAACCACAGGACCTGCTTCGAATGAAAATGTTCAACGTTTCGACCTTCACATTCACTCAAAGTTATTACTGAACCAGAAACTGCAGAGACCATTAAATTGTAAATATTAAGACTGGAATAGAAACAAAATGCTGATTTGTAGAATTTACCAGTTTGAGGATATTCTAAGGAAATATTAGCATTTTGCTGGTAACTAATCCTTATTTCTCAGTGTGAGCAGTAAATAATAAACTCCAGATAATGTTACTGAATCTTATTCTCTAGGCTAGGGGCTATCCTAACTGACTCCCCCCCCCCCGCCCCCCTCCCACCCCCATTAGTTTGTCTGTATAAAATGTATAGATTTTGTTAATCATGTATACTATGTATATATCAATATAAAACATATAGAACAATTATGGCGTATTGTAGTATTTTGGAAACTTCTAAGATAATTTAGAACTGTAGAAAACTTTCTTTATTTTTTTAAATCAAATCTAAAGATTTTTATTTTATAAATATATATTGTATAGTAATTAAACATACATGCAAAATCTATACAGATAGAAACTATAGAATATTGAGCATATAAAATATAAAAAAAATCCATACAGGTAGACACTTTTATATTCTATATTAAACATACTATATGAAATTTGTATATAAACTAAACACATTAAACATGTAAAAAACTTATACAGTTATAAACTATACTATATTAAACATTCTATACAAAACCTACTCAGGCACAAGCTATAATGTATTAAACATATATAAGATCTACACAGATATAAACTATATTAAGCATACTATACAAAACCTACACAGATATAAACTATATTATATTACACAGACTATACAAAACCTATACTGATATAAACTATATTGTATTAAATATACTATAAAAAAACCTACACAGATATAAACAATATTATATTAAATATACTATATATAAAATCTATACAGATATAAACAATATTATATTAAATATACTATATATAAAATCTATACAGATATAAACAATATTATATTAAATATACTATATATAAAACCTATACAGATATAAACTGTATTATATTAAACATACTATATAAAACATATACAGTTACAAGCTATTATATATTAAACATACTATTTAACATCTCTAAATATCTAAACAATATTATATTAAATATACTATATACAAAACCTACACAAATATAAACATTATATTAAATATACTATATACAAAACCTATACAGATATAAACTATATTATATTAAACATATATAAAACCTATACAGATATAAACTATATTAAACATACTATATAAAACCTATACAGGTACAAGCTATAATATATTAAACATACTATATATGACCCACACAGGTACAAGCTATGATATATAACACATAGTATATAAAATACAGATATATTCCAGTCCAGATGCCTTTTTACAGTGAATTTGTTTTTTTGTTACTGACTGCAAATTCGAAACTTGTTTTTCTTTTTCCTTATTACATTAAACACAACCATTTCCTTCCCAGTCACACGATGTTCTATCCATGAAAATAATACTTTTCCCTCAATTATTGCTTTCTAATGATGTATATCTTTTGCGTGGAAAAAAAATCCTCTGGCATATGATTTCACCGAATTGTTTGCATCTTTTGGAGAAAAAAAAAAGTAACTTTGTTCATTTCCCTCCCAATAATCAGACACAGATACAGGCAAACATGTATAAACAGTGAGGGGAACCACAGAGCCTGGAATTAACTCAGACACCCCTTCATTGCTGGCATGTGGCTGGATTAACCTGTTAGGGCTGGGATCAAACTTCCTTCCTTTATACCTTTTTAGAATTACTGACCTGGATTCTGTTTTATCGCCCATTTTTTATCTGTAGTTTTTGCTGTTTTTATTAAAAAAAAATGTCTTTCTGGGGTCTGTCTACTAAACAGCAAGATGAGGTGAACTGACACATAATTAGCAGGATTTTAACCAAGATTACAGAAATTAATGGGTTTTTTTTTTGTCCAATTCTGTTAAATTGGAGATTTTTTTTCCCCTCCCATCTTCTATACTAAATAGATCGATTCTAAATTTGCCCAAACTCGATGTTTAGTAAATAAACAATCAATACTAGATTACTAAGAATTAATATAACCATTTCAAGCAACACATCATTTTATTGTAACAGGGAATGAATTGTTTTTTAATGAATAACTTTTATGATTGGCACCGCTTTGTGGATTTCAATGGAGGATAGCATGAAACAAGAATTTGTAAGAGTTTATTTATTTTTTACCATTAAATATTTCATCTCCTCAAACTAGCAATATAAATATTCCAATAAATTAGGCAATAAAATATTTAAATGTAACAGGTCAAGCTGACACAGACAGAGGGGACACAAGGAGAGACTGACAGGGGAGGTGGGCATTTTAGGTTATCTGAAACATTTAATGCAGAAATGATTGATGTGTGTCTATAGATTTTATTTATACTTGGCGTTCGTTCATTCATTCATTTTAAATTAAAATCTAAACCATGGTAACTAAAATGGTGAATCTAGTTAATAATGTTTTATTTATTTATATATAATATAGCCATCCTAGTTGTTGGATGGAGAGGGTCACTGTTAAAGGTAGAGCAGGGTGATGATCTAGTGATCTTGCAGATCCCAGGGACTAGCACTGAAAGGGTTAGTATGGGATTTAATTACCTGAGCCTTTGGATACATAACATTTTCCCATTGTTACTTGGACAGACTTGCCGCTTCTCTGAGGGTAAATATCCCCCTTTTTCTCTCAATCTGCAATCAGTAATCCAGGTGCTGGCCATTGCTTGAAAGGGACTCAGTGGATGGGACAGGAATAAGCATTGCTGTCTGTCAGGGGCTGCACCCAATTGGAGGGACACAGTGCCTTAGCCTGCCCCCTATAGGCGTGACTGGTCACTGTGACAGCTCAGCCCAACCCTACCCATCCCACGTTGCTATTAGAGGGAAATACAGAACTTAGACTGTTGCACCCAGAAAGCAAGGTACTTCTTCACCTTTTATCCCTGGGTCCCTGAGATCACCCAGAGCTGCTGTGGACAAACCTCTGGCCTTCCCCAGGCAGCCCCCCCTGCAACTGGATACCAAGGGACCCCCCAACACCAGGAATGGGTAAGTGCAGCTGGGGAAAGAGATTTTAACCCAGGAGGCTGTCAGAGAGAGAAGACCTCTCTCAGGCTGTTTACATTGTCCTGTCCCTACAAGCCAGCAGCAAACACGTTAAGGATCATTAGCAAAGATAGGCAGTGATACAGTAACTGGCTGCATCATTAGGAATGCATGGGTAAGCCAGATTGGTTAACCCACTGAGTGCCAGAAACTAATGCATTCAGGTGGATCAATTCTTCTTTATAATAGAGGGGGTATCCGAGAGCTAACTTTTCCCCTCATTTCATTTGAGGAGTTTGGGTGATGGGTTTCCCCCATAAAATGGCTACTAAAACATATATAAATAATATGTGTGCATTATATAGAGGTTTATATGAAATTTGATCACTGTGTATCCAGAAATGAGTCATTATTTGCATTCTAATACGGGCTGTCAGTGTGTGTGTGTGCAGCCCATGCATTCATTCATGGTATTTTGTAAAGATAACTCTTTTTAAGCTAAGAGCAGTCAGTACCCCTATTGTCCTGGCCAGTGTCACTGCACGTCTGAACTGAGAGCAAGTTGTTTAGGGTTTGCATATGAGCATGGTAGGTGTAATGGCTAAAACATTTGTCTCCTTCTGTCCTTCAAGAACCAGCCTTTGGAGAAGTCAACCAGCTTGGAGGGGTGTTTGTCAATGGAAGACCTTTACCCAATGCCATCAGGCTAAGGATTGTGGAGTTGGCCCAGCTTGGGATCAGGCCCTGTGACATCAGCAGACAGCTGAGAGTGTCCCATGGTTGTGTCAGCAAGATACTAGCTCGCTACAATGAGACTGGATCCATCTTACCTGGGGCTATTGGGGGCAGCAAGCCCAGGGTGACCACCCCAACGGTGGTGAAACACATCCGGACATACAAGCAGAGGGACCCTGGTATCTTTGCCTGGGAGATCAGGGACAGACTCCTGGCAGATGGGGTGTGTGACAAATACAATGTGCCTTCAGTCAGTTCTATCAGCAGGATTCTACGAAATAAAATTGGAAATTTATCCCAACAGAGTCACTATGACAACCATAAACAGCATCACCACCCTACAGCTCACTCTGCCCTCCAGTACAACCACATCTACTCTTACCCCAGCCCTATTGCTGCAGGAGCCAAAGTGCCCACACCACCTGGAATGCCCTCAATTTCTGGCTCTATGGGCATGCCAAGGACTTGGCCCTCCTCACACTCTGTCACAGATATCCTGGGAATTAGATCAATCACAGACCAAGGTGAGTCCCTCTCTACAGATACAGTTGTCTTAAAACCTAAATAATGTATCTAGGATGAAATATTTTTTTTTTAAATTTAATATTTATTTTTTATTTACACATCCATTATCCCCCCTTTATTTAATAGAAAGTATAAGTGCAAGCCTTTTCTTAATGTAAGGTTGTGCTTGAACGTGACCCCTATTAGTGCTATAGACACAAACAGTATGAAGTGTATCCTTCCAGACTAAGGGAAGTACATTACCTTCAGGCAAGGCATTAAGTAAAGATGTAAGAGACCCTGGCTGAGTGACTGAGACCTTTAAAGGTTCTATTCTAGTTCATAAAATATATTATACGCTCATATCCTGTGCCATTCAAAAAAGCACATCTTATTACTTTTCTCCCAATACAGAATTTTTAAGAATCTGCTGAAATTGAAACGCTCTCTCTCCCTTCCACCTCCTTGATTTATTTACCATGAACTCTATATTTATAGTATGTGCATATAAAATCTATATTTATAAAACAATACATGCAAAGTGACGTTATTTGTCAAAATGCATCTATAGAACGAGCCACAAACATGGAGCCAATAGAGTGCATGTGGATATTTAGAATTTATTATTTTATGCATATTTTCAAATTACATTTTCTTGTTAAGTGACAACAGGAACGTCGTTTAAGGAACTAAAAGTAAACAAACTGACCACTTTTTTTAATAGGTTAATGTCAGCACTAATAAGAGTCCTGATGAAAAGTTTCCCATTGAAATAGAGATTGTAGATTGGTGACTGTGTGTGTGTGTGTGTGTGTAGCAGATGGCATTTTTCACAGTTTCCTGGGTTAAATGCTGGTTTTTGTTTAGCTTCTAATGCCTTTAGACAGGCTATGAAAACTGTATTTAAAGGATATCATGTCCAATAGACATGAAGGGTGAGAGGGACTCACTGCCTGCAGCCTCTGTCTAAACAGAAAATTAATTTCACTTTTACTAAAAACAGGAATTTGTCATCAACATAAAGCTTGCTGGAAATGAAGGAAAAGTTTCACTTCTGTGGTGTGTGTAATCAGACTAAATTTACCCAGACAGGAAGTTCAAATGTCAGATAATTGCTTTCATTCTAAAGGCACCAACTGCAACCCCTGGGCATAATCTGACCAGGAGAATGGATTTTCTATCCACCTAGAGACTCATTTTCTGCTTATTTTATTGACTAATCCAGAGGAGTATGAAGCCCCTAGAACTCCGTTTACATATTTTTAAATAAACTCTGAATAATTACTAAACTCTGAAACTAAACTGTAAACATACTCCTTGGGAAAAAAAACTAGCCTCCTTAGGTCTCTCACCCCCTCCATCTCTCCCCCCCCCCCCCCCCCCCCCCCCCCCCCCCCCCCCCCCCCCAATCATTCCCTTTAAATTGCCCAATTCCTATTAATTGCTTAGTGAAAGTCTCATTTAAGTTGGTATATGTTTCTCAATAAAGACATTCAGCTTGCCCGAGAAGTATACAGAGAATGCGATTTCCTGAAACGATGTTTAAAAGAGAACCTTACATTCAGAGAATTAGATTACAAATTGGGAATGTTTGCAGATCCCTCTAATGGTTTCCTCTTTTATTAACACCACATTTAGCAGGCAGGCCTCCGAGGGTACAGTCTGGGTCTGTTCCTCTGGCTTTCTATGGACTTTGCCGAGTCTGTCTCTAAAGGAAGAATTACTTAGAACTGGGCTGCAGTCTGCCCCCCCTCCGATACAGGTTCAATTACTAGAGAAAGTGTGACTCAGACAGACAGACAGATGGGCAGAGACAGACAAAAAGGGAGAGAAAGTGAGAGAGAAAGAGAGAGGCAAAGGGAAATAGACAGACTGACAGAGAGACCGGCACAGACAGAGGAACAGAGACAGACAGGCAGACAGAGAGAATGAGAGAGCGAGCGGATGCTGGAGAGAAAGTTGATCCAAACTAATTGGTGAATTCACTAAATTTCGAAATGTGGAGAGTTGACACCGAGCCTTCAAAATGTAGAACACAATAGGTGAAGGGATATGCCCAATACTGAGATTTGGGCCAAAACTATGCAAATCAGTTCTCAACTGACTATAGCTCACTGTTTATTATTAATATAGCGCCAACATAATACGCAGCGCTTTACAATTATAAATGGGGATATTTGACAAGTAATCTGAGATACATAGAATATGATTAACAATCTGGGAAATATATATATAATTATAAATAGTAACAATCTGATATATAAATATATATAATTATACATAGTAACAATCTGATATATAGATATATATAATTATACATAGTAACAATCTGATATATAGATATATATAATTATACATAGTAACAATCCGATATATAGATATATATATAATTATACATAGTAACAATCTAAAATAATTAGAATATGATAATCTGAGATATATATAAAATGATACATAGTAACACTGAAATATATATACACACACATTATGATACATAGTAACAATCCGAGGTATAGAGAGATTATATATATATAATGATACATAGTAACAATCCGAGGTATAATGATACATAGTAACAATCCGAGGTATAGAGATAATGATACATAGTAACAATCCGAGGTATAGAGATACATAGTAACAATCCGAGGTATAGAGAGATTATATATATAATGATACATAGTAACAATCCGAGGTATAGAGAGATTATATATATAATGATACATAGTAACAATCCGAGGTATAGAGATATATATATATATATAATGATACATAGTAACAATCCGAGGTATAGAGATATTATATATATAATGATACATAGTAACAATCCGAGGTATAGAGATATTATATATATAATGATACATAGTAACAATCCGAGGTATAGAGATATTATATATATATAATGATACATAGTAACAATCCGAGGTATAGAGATATTATATATATATAATGATACATAGTAACAATCCGAGGTATAGAGATATTATATATATATATAATGATACATAGTAACAATCCGAGGTATAGAGATATTATATATATAATGATACATAGTAACAATCCGAGGTATAGAGATATTATATATATAATGATACATAGTAACAATCCGAGGTATAGAGATATTATATATATAATGATACATAGTAACAATCCGAGGTATAGAGATATATATATATAATGATACATAGTAACAAGAGTATAGAGATATTATATAATGATACATAGTAACAATCCGAGGTATAGAGATATTATATAATGATACATAGTAACAATCCGAGGTATAGAGATATTATATAATGATACATAGTAACAATCCGAGGTATAGATATTATATAATGATACATAGTAACAATCCGAGGTATAGAGATATATATAATGATACATAGTAACAATCCGAGATATAGAGATGATATATATATATATATATATAATGATACATAGTATCAATCTTGCAATTCTATTTTCTTTCTCTATAGTGTGTGTCTAATGATAATTCTAGTCTATAAATACTATCAGGGTCTGGTGATGTCCGTGAAATCTCTCCTTTTCTATAAATGTAAATTAGATTGTACATGTGTTTATTTACGGAATTAAATGGTGTTGAGTGGAAAAAATAGTTTGACATTTTATGGCAAATTATTCGATTTGAGAAAAAGTCTCCAATTCGGATATTTTACAACTTAGATATTTAGAATTTTCAAAATGGCCATTTCCCCCCAACACACAATTAACTGCATTTATTTAGGTTTTTTCCTTGTTGAATCTCGTTATGTTTTTTCTTCAATTTTCTATTTTTGTTGTAAAGACAGACTTTCTGCATTGTGAGAATAACTTTTTTTTGCTCACTGTAAAATAAACATTTCTGTAAAAATCTGGAATGTTAAGTATTTTCCAGATCTGTGATCTTTTCCTCAAACACACAGGCACCGTTTTTCTTGTTCAGAACCCAGAGCATTGGGGGACATTCTACTCCCTCCCCCCTCCAATCAATATTTCACTACAGAGCGATATTTAGCGAGTTAATTTGCTGGGTTTATGTCAATATAGTCAGGTTTAAGTTAAAGGGGAAAAAACAAAACAGTTAAGATGCGTTGGAGATTTTTTGCCTAAACATTACATGTGAGTTATCACTCCCCACATATCGCCGTTTAGTGAATAGGCCCATATGTGCTGTCACATTTAGCCTATGACTAATGACTGTGTGATTAATGGCTTGTGTCATTTTTCGTACCATGTCATTTTCTCATCTTGACAAGTGACCCCTTCCTTCCCCTATCACAATCCTAAGTATTTATCCCAAATCTCAACAAAGTACCCACATCAACATTTGTGCTGATTACTTCATCATAGGTTAGCAGTTTATTTGGATCTGTTAAATTCACACATTGGATGGGCCCTATATACAGCAATGTGCCCAAAGCCAAGATATACACTCGCCATAAGTGTTCCAGTGACCGCAATATTTTAATAACCTGATTTCAGAGCCTATAATTATATCTCGGGTGCATGCTGGGTAAAAAGTACAAATACTACATTTACACTATGTACCAACACTGGATCACTGCAGTAAAACACACAGAATGGCTCAACTTATTACTCAATAGGTTTCTTCAGTATAGAACTTGCGCAAGAGTTTTCAGAGAAGGCCAGAATAAAAAATAACAACGTGTGTGTGTGTGTGTATATATATATATGTGTGTGTGTGTGTATATGTGTGTGTGTATATGTGTGTGTGTGTGTGTATATATATATATATAATCTAATGTAAAAATTCCGTGTATGTACCTGTATTGTATTTATAAATATATATATATATCGCCTGTAGATAAGAGCTAAAAATTGGTTTATGCGAATTCAAATTTATATTATATATATATACATATTAAATACACATATATGTGTATAATGTAATCAATAGTTATATATATATATAATACACACACATTTTTGTAAGGAATACATATGGAATTTATATTAAACATAAATATAAAATCTCTATCGATGAATCTATACATTTCTACTTCGATCCCTGGTTAATTCGAATCAGACAGGTTATTTGCCAGTTATAAGGTATGTAATGTATGTTACTAGAATAGATAGTATGGATGTCCTTTAATAATGGTGAGATTACTGGAGGGTATTTACAAAGTAGCGAGTTCTGGCGAAGTTCAGAGCCGTTTTTTTTTTTTTTTTACAATTTAGGCCGAGGTGTTTAAAGTCCTTTCACTTGGCCCATTTTCTCATCTTCGCCAGAACTCGCTGTTTAGTGAATAGAAGTGTGTTCATTAAAAAGTAAAATATTGTGCACATGATTACCTGATTTAAAACAACCCAGTGTGAGGGTAAAAGCTGGCATTAACATGAAGCTGCTATTTGGAAGCCTCACTGTAAATCCTGGGGATGTAATCCAACTGGTATATGGTACATGGTGGCTGCTACTAACCTGCTTCCTGTCTCCCCAGTTAGTGACACATCACCCTATCACAGCCCCAAAATGGAGGAATGGAGCACCCTAACCCGAAACGGCTTCCAGACCACCCAGCACATGATCAATGGCCTGGACAAGGGCTCCCTGGACCAGGAGGTCAAATACAGTCAGGTGAGACACACTGCCATGGGACAACGACCACTCCCATCACGCTTTGCCAGCCTGCCTGCCAGATATTTTAAGGATGGGTGACTGATGTGCCTGTTCATACCTGTTACCATGACAGCGTGTATCTTGTACAATGCAGATAGTAATCGCAGAGAACAGGAGGACAGTGTAAAACTGATCCAATATTACAGAATCCATAGCTAACAATCCCCATTGTGTGTGTTATTAGGGGTATCAGCTGAATAAGTCTGGATGGATTTAGCTTTTTCTAGCTCGCTCTGATGGGAGATGTACCTGCATTCATTCAGCAGGAGAGATTCCATTTTGGAATGTTGTGATATTCAGGTCTTTGTTTTGTGAGAGATCACTTGCTGTTATTGAAATAGTTATTATTGCTGTAAGGAGTTTATTCAGTAAAAGTGAAGGGTCTGGAGTTTAAAAAGGTATCCTGCTATTTATTGTTTAAAACTATGAACAGCAATAATTCCCTATGAATTCCTCAGTATGTGCGATTTGGAATGGATGTGATCGATCACTCAGCAATATAATGGCTTTCTTTGACTACTGAACATTCAATTTAACCCTTTCAAGGAGTGATCCATTAATTAGCACAATGCTGATCTGACACTGAAAAGGTATGTCAGATCTATTCCAAGGAGCTGAAAATGGTTCTTATAGTATAGGAAAGCATGCATCACCATAGCCATTAAATGACATACAATACCTTTCATCTGTGACTGCTGTCTGCTACAGAGATCCAATCTATTCTCCACATCTAGAACCTTTGGCAGATCCTTACTGCAATCTACATTCTCCTTATAACCAAATCAATGATTTCACAGCATTTCTCATTTTTCTTGCAACAAGTACATTTTGGTTAATTGTAGGCACATACAATGTATAAGCCAGTGATTAACAATCCTGGCACTGCAGATGTCTGTGAACTCCATTTCCCATGATGCTCAGCCGATCTGCAGTGCCTAGGATTGCCAGCAGTATTAGTATATGCTGTGATTTTAATCTGCTAATAAGGACAGAATTGCACCCATTTTATTCTATTCAATACTTACTAAGGCTTTCCTTTCAGCCGGCTGTGAGGCTGTGTAACTTTGTTTGCCCCAGAGGGATCTATTATTTTAAGTGCTGGTGCCAAAGTAAATAGCATATTATTTTTGTTTATAAATACTGCTGTATTTGCTATTAGTAGCAAAAATGATCTCAGTCCAATAAATGCTTTTTTCAATTTATTTATTTTAATCTGTGGAATCTCCTCTTCACTAACAACATCTATTAAACTCCAGCTCATGAAATGAAGAAAAAAAAAACTGTAGCAAAAAAATGATACATTGCACTGAAACCTCATAAAATGTACCCCTAGTGATATCAGTTTTCTCAGTGGTCTATTTACTAAACAGTAAGCGGCATTGAGTTGATAATTTGCTCTTAAAATAAAACTCATTATAGCTGAAATGAAAAATATAAAAGCTCAGATTGGTGAATACACCAACAGCTCAAGAATGCAAAATTGGGGTAAAATGTGTATAATAAATCAAAGCCAATAAAATCACATCCACTCCTGCTGCTAAGCTGGGCCCTTGTTTCATTAACCTCAGCAAAAATATTACACAATCTCCCCAAATTCTCTGTAGTATAATTATCCCAATTAAACGCAGATAGAAAGTATTGATATTCAGTATTTAAGTAACAAAAAAAAACAAAAAACTTTTTTTTAAATATAGTTTGTTACACTTTTTCCCTTTGTTAATAATTATTCAGTTTTTTTTGGCTGGCATTGTACTTGCTACATGTGGTTCTATAGTTCATCACTCTCCTTATTACTTTATAATATTTGTTTTTAAATCCAATATGAGAAAAAAAAAAAAATTTTGCAGGACACTACTCTTGCTAAACCCATGTTTGTATATAGTAATATAATTTGCATTATTTAGATATTGTAAAATGATAGCTAGGTACATAATATTAGAGGAGCCTGCCCCTTACAAATTATAGAGAAAATCTAAAACCAGACTTGCAAGTACAGGTGATTCGAATAAATTCACCTTAAATCTGTTTATTGGCTATGTTGGCCCAATTTATTTTTAAAACACTCAGGTTTTAATTTATTATAATTCATGGCTTAGTGGATAAACCTATTAATGAAATGAATGCTGCTTTAAAATACTTTTCTAGCATGGTTATTTTGCAAAAAAAGAAATTCACAGTATTTTCTACTTGTAGACAAATTGCAAATTTTCTAACTGCAACTGTCCCTTTTCAATACAACCACTGCCATTCTATACCAATCCGTTTATTTAAGCTGTGCCCACAGTTTAACCCAAGTGGAAACCACTGGAAGAATCTATATTTATGTAATTAGCTAATTTTGTGCTCAAAAGCACTGGATACGGCTTGTGTTATAACACAATTTCATTTATGTTTATATTTACAATGGCTATGCATTCTGTACCTGTTTGGTTAATACAGTTAATTTATACCTGCATTTAAATCATTCATGAAAGGATTTTTCCAAGTGATACTATATAGCATTCGATAAAAAAAAAAAATGGGTAAATTTAGAATAAAAAAAAAAAATAAGCTTCAGATATTATCTTACATATACCTTTTTTTTTTATTTAATTGTTCTTTATTCAAAGTTAGAGCACAGACATACATATACCTTGCATTTATAATTTTAACCTCCAATGAACAATTTTCGGAATTATTTTACTACGTACATAATGGCTTGTATATATTGCAATATCAGTTAGATTTAGTTTAGAGTTTATCACGTGCCTACCATTTAGACTATCATTTCGTATTTTTAAAATACATAATTACAGATATTAGTAGAGACCATGCTTCATTCCCAATTTTCTATTGCTGTGACTGTGTGTTTGCAGTCATTGCTTTTTACAGGGTTTAAATGCAAAATGAGAATTTGGCTTGTAAAATCAGTCTAGCATTAAAAGTAAAATAAAATATGAAAACTATTACATTCAGTCAAATTGGAGAATTTCTCAAGTTTAAGGTCTAATCCGGTCTTGTTTAGCATGGTGATTAAAAAAATCATCTAGTGTTAATTTACTACATTGGGAATTATAGACAATGGAAAAATTGGCCAAACTGATAAAGTTATTTACTTGGAAAATGTTCCCGATTCAGCCTAAAGTATGTAATTAATTTTGTTAGTTCTCTACAATTCTGCTTTCGTAAATAATGTGAAACATGAAAAGATCACTAAAAATGTTACAGTGAAACTGCAATAAATTTGACCAAAATAATACCTTTTAGGCTGTAATTGCTAAGAAAAGTTTCCGATTTTGCCCGGTTGGAGATTTATGTTTTCCAAACACTGAAAAAACTAAGGTTACTATAGGAATTATTCACTTTACAGTGAGATTTGTGGGCCAATAACTGTTATTTTGCCAAAATTGTCAAAATATCACAAATTTATTTTGAAACATTATTGTACTGTGTTTTTAGATAATAAGGTAAAATGAGCTGAAATTATGTTTGTAAACAGATTTAAGCTGGATTTGGTAGGAAGTGAAATGTTGAAGTGTAAAACCTACGGTGCTTTTTTGGGAGGTGTGGGGGACTCCTTGATAAGAGAGCCTGGTATATTATGTACTTTGTTTACAGTATACTCAATCAGAATTTCAACCAATCATTTGCTAAAAATTGGTAAAAAGTACAAATCAAGCGTTTTTCTTATAGATCTTTTTGTTCGGATTAGGGAGGTTTAGTCCATCCAAATGCATATTTAAGGCTCATGAATATCACCCACAGTGTAAATATTATGTCTATTCACTAAACCATGAGTTGTAGGATGAATGACCAATAGCTTTAAACATCTAGGCCAAAATATTCACATAAAATATATTTACAAACTATGAGAAGTAAGAGTTTATTGACCTATATTGTGCAAGTCTGGTTTCTGAATAAGCTCAACCGAGCGTTTAACTTCCCAATTTCTCTAGTTTATACTGTATTTTTAGAAGACCAAATACATTGCTTAATATTTACATAAATACAATAACACATTGGGATCAATTCACTAAAATGGACTGTAAAAACCTAGGCTAAAATATCCAATTACTAAGATTTGTAATTCCCATGACAAATCTCCTCCACTAGCCTGAATTAAAGTCCATTTTGGTCAATTTAGAAGAATAATGAAAAGCAATGTTTCTGATCGGTCGTTTTTAATAACCGTCCCAGATACCTTTTGCCGTACATAATCAGAAAACCATAAACAATGAAATGTAATAAAATAAGCATAGGCACCGATTTATAATAGTCAATCCACTGATATCTTTTTACCTTGTAGCACTTCACTTGCTGTGAATATCATTGATCATACGCACTTCTTGTCAGATTTGTCATGTAAAAGCAAAATATTAAATACTGCGACACATTAACTGAATGAAAAGGCCAACCATACAATTTGTAATTAGTAAAAGGATTCCATCATTCAGAGTAGATTTATGAAAGAAAAGGGCAGATATTATTGTAGTTCATTATCTATTTATTAACCAACGTAAGTGGCATGGAACAGCCCAAAATAATGAGTATTTCTTTTCAAGATTAAAAGGGATGTTAATTAAATCACAATTCTACAACTCAAATAGCCACAATTTTTTTTGTGATTTAAAATCAGAGTGGAAACATTCTACAACTCATAATTTGGCTATTTTTGCCTCAGTTTTGCTAGTTACATTTAATTTGAAAACATTAGGGATTTAGTGGATAGGCTTGTTAAAGTGAAAATGCAGTTATTTCTCTCCTTTTAAAAATCTGTAGCCAAATGCATGTTAAGCATTTTTGGAAGACTAAGACTTCATTTATAAATAACTAATTTAACCCTCTATGGACATTATTGCTTGCTCCTGCTAGTCTAGCGTTTTATACGGTTATTTACAGTCAAGTATATATAAAAATTGATTCAATTGTTTGAACATTAAATGCAATATCTAATATATTGGAGGAAAAAACTAAAAACCTTCTAAAATACTTTCAATTGGAGCCTTAACCCTGTGACTGACATGTACCATGCGTCAAACATGTCTTAGGCAGGATGGATAGTTAGAACATTTGTAAACGCTAACAATGCATGCAATAGAGTTGATTAATAACATATAAACTGTTGACCCTAAATTGCTCAAGACAAAAATGAGTAATAGATAATTAAATTGATTTTGGGCATTTCTGGTTTTCAAATAAAGGCATATAATCAAGGTCATGCATTTCTGTATGAAACATGTAGCCACTAATTTGGCTGTTCCATACATTTTTATGCTGTGTTTTAAGGCATTGCTTTGCAGACATGTGCAATGTGTAGATTTGTTCAATGTACAGAGAAACAAACTTGGTAGCTGTCTAAAGAACCAGGCTGAGGCCACTGAGCAGGGTACTTTTGGATCCAAACATTTTCTAGTGACCAGAACCATTGGCCCTAGCTATATAGTGTATGTCACATTTTACAGTTCTATTACTACAACACTGTGTAGTGGGCTAATGTTTACTGACTACATTATGTCCATGCTACATGTACAAGTGAAATAAATACAAACAAAACATAACAGCATCTTTAGTCTTGATCAGATATGTTCTTAAGACAATTGAACATTTTTAAAAAGGTGATAACTTAAAAAATAAATGTAAAAATTCCATAGTTCAGACAACTCGAATAAAATAGAAGATCAAACTAAAGTTTCACATAAAAGAAGAATAGTCATGATACAAAAATCTATGGTTTAAGTACTAATAGAGCCAATTGTAAAATAAGTGAAAACATAAGCGTGATCTAAAAAAAATTAAAAAGCTTTTTCAACCAATTAGTGAATCAGCTTAGAAATCATAAATAATAATAATAATAATCAACGTATCAGAAATGGATAAACTACAACTTGCGTTCTAATTAAAGAAACAGTCAAATGACTATACAGATAACAATCAACTAAATTAGTAAGAATTCTGGGAAATAATTACTTTAAACGGGGGTTCGTCAAATAGGCCTCTACATGCAGATTGGCAAGTTCTAGTAATTGTTTTGCACAGTTTACAATCACAGATGGCAGTACCATAAGTGGGTGGCACTAGCATAAAAGCAGTTTATTAGACATATAGTCTAAAGACCGTGTCCCAATTATATATACCAGTTCTCCTCTAACCGGTCATATTGCAATAATATATTAAAACAAACCTGTCAATATAGGTATGGCATTTCTTATACCTAAATACATCACTAATCTGAACCTCCTTTAACATTACAGACAGAGGACAAGGCAATGTGTCTCCTTAAGAAAGTAGAGTAATGCTATCTTATTGATACATAGGACAAATTAAATAATAAGTGACATAATACGCTAACCATAACTGGATGAAAGTTAGAGCTTCTAAGAACACTGTTACAAGAAAGTCATCTTAACAGAACACTCCAGACGCACAAAGCACTTCAGGTCTGTGTGTTCGGAGTCTGTCTTACTGTCAATAGAAGTTTACACTTTTATAATTGGTGGAAAAGACAGCCTGTCACTCAGATACCCAGGGAGGTTTTTTGTTTCAGCTTCAGTTAGTGCTACCGAGCTAACGGAAGCAGCAGGCCCACGAAGGTACAGTGCGCCTGCCTTCCCTCCTTCTCAATGAACCATACTATATCACCCTGGAGAAGCCCTGGAAGGCCACACTCGCTTGCATGCACGCGGCTCCAGGACTGACACTTCTCAATGTATTACTTTCATTCTATGCCAGGGAGAGCAGGCCTCAAACTTTGCATATACCAGCAAAGAAAACATGCAGAACAAAATACATACATGATTTCCTTGGGAGTATATCTGCTAAATTGTTTAATACATTCCTTTTAAGATGTAACCCTTAAGATGAAGATTAAGTTATGAAATCTCCAATACATGCCTTGATAAAAACAATTACTGACCAACACAGCCTTACAGAATCGCTTAATGGGAACTCAAAAACAAGAGGCCCTCATTAAATGAAGTAGTAGTAGTGTGTTGATCCAAGCTAAATAGTTTGTCTTTTTTGATGCAGGATTGGATTTTTTTTCAAAATGTTTCTGTATTTGGGAGTATGTGAACATTGGAAGGACAAATATTTCTATTTTTTTCTTTCTAACAAATTTGCATCAGTGTGACCATTTGATTGCTGCTTGTGGGCTGCAGTTTTATTGTTGTCTGCAGGACAGAGCTAAGTAACGGGGTTCTAATACAATAAGCTTTCCATCTGGGCTTACATACATCGCTTGCTTTAAGAGACAGTAAATCTTAAAAACTCAAGCTACCCGTATCTACAATCCAGCAGGAGCTAAATTATAAATAATGAGGCTTCAAACATGTACGTAATCTTTAACCCACATGCATTTTGCAGGAAGACTTAAAAAAAAAAAAAAATAATAAAAAAGTAAACGGCATTAAATGGGGAAAGTAAAACATACTTTTTACTTTTCTTTTAGGTTTTCATTCCACACTGCAGATTTCTCCCAAACAATTAGGGGAATCTGACGATAACTGGATCTTTCAGAAGTTGGATGCATGTCTAGGCTAGCTGACTAAAGAATGATATTTTGCACAGGTTTTCTTTAACAGTTGTAAATACCCCCAGCTTTCTGTGAAGGCCATACTCACCCCTTTCAATAAATAGGGCTACGATAGCTAAACTCTAAATTTGCCTGTGTGGACCCAAGTAATAATTATTCTAAGTTGAAAACAGAAGAATTCTTGTGTCTGGTATTCACATAATTTAGGCTATAATCGAAGGGGGAGGAGAGATTACAGCTCGTGTAAGAAAACTTGCATTGCTTATTTATCTAATTTATCATCAGTACAATCAGTTCAAACCTTGGGGGTCGTAGGTTCGATTCCTGGCAGGGTTGACTCAGCTCTTCATTCTTCCAAGGTAGATAAAATGAGTACCATTAAATTGGGTAATCGTAACATCCCCTGGACAAACTTGGAAACCAGAGAATATCTGAATGTACCTTTCCATGGTTAAATACTTTGTTATTATTGTAATCCAAATCCTAAAAAATGGAATTGTAATAATTCTTATTATTATTTTTAATACAAAATGATGTGTATTACAGCCTCCACCACCCTTGAGTATATTTAATGTCTTACACTAACTGTACATGGTAGCCATATTTTAGCACAGCTTATCTGACCAGAAGCCGTGCTAGTGTGCATTCACCAATACTCCCATCATCCGCAAGCAATGCTCATCTCAAACAGGCACACAAGGGCAGCTTCAGACCTTCAAATTGTGCATGATATGAGCAGAGAAGTAGGGCTTCCCACGAAGGAGGGTTCAAAATGGCTGCCCCCACAGAGCATTGCTAAACTACGAGGTTCCTTAAAAATAAATTCAAAATCTTGATTACTTGCTATATACTCCACTGTTTGACTAATGCTCTGTGGAATTATCTTGGTACAATATAAATATTACTCCTTGTGCATTCATTCTCTATACATTTTAGAGATATATCATACTTATAAAGTGGGTTATTTTGCACAAATGTACAGTAATTTCCCATTTTAATTACTGAAGTAGGCAAACATATGCTGAAAAGGGCAAAAGCAGGTTGCATTAAAGGGGCACTATAGCGTTGGGAATACAAATGTGTATTCATTACACAACAGTGCCCTAGCTGCTGTTTAGATGACTGGGACTTCTCTGCCAGTGTTAAAACCATGAGTTTTACTTACATTTCCTCCATCTTTGGCTGAGATCATTGAGATCAAGACACCACACTGCGTCAATCAGACGCTATCTGAGACCATCTGATTGAGTTTTACTCCACTATTTCAGCAGAAGCGCCTCTAGTGGCTGTCTGTATGGGGATGGCGCGGCATGGCACCAAGACCACTTAATTGAGATGAAGTGGTCTGGGTTCCTATAAAAGGCCTTTAACTTTTCTTTAATGAACAATATCATGATAAAAGCAAATAGTTTTTATGTTCTTGGTGCTGATTAGAAGAACTATCTGTAACAGGTTTGTTGTTCTGTACCATGTCATACTAATTGGATGTGCAAAAATGCAGACTGCGATCTATATTCCGCAGAAATGTCAGTCTACAACTACCTGTAAACAGAGACCAGACATTGCATGACATAATTATAATGCTGGGGATTTTTGTGCTGTGTACGAATATTAACCACAATGGACAGGAATTCATTACCTGTGCTGTGTGATTGATGATGTACTGATTTTATCTTAAAATTCTTTCATAGACAGCAATATAAGATTTGAAGATACAAAAACCAGGGATGAGGTATGCATATAGACCTCAACGGGTGTTGATGAAAGAGATATTTTTACCTTTACCGAATATTTATAAATTTCAGTCAAATAGGACGGTTTTATGTTCCAATTATTGGGATATTCGTATTCTGACCTAATGGATACTTTACCAGGGAATGAGGGCAAAACAAATGTTCTCCTTTCCACATTCATTCCTGCTAATCTTTCCTGCCCATCTTCTGGGACAGAGGTGGGCAGGAAAGAGAGGAGGCTGCACATAGTGATGCACCCCATTTCTACCCCTAAGGAGGGTGCCCCGGCACTCAGTGTATGGTCCGAGTGCCCTGTCTCTTCCAGCAGATTTAACAATGTGAGGCAGGCCCCCTGGGACCTACTTTTGCTGTGACAGTAGCCATTATACATAAATAACGCAAATAGCTCTTCCTAGAGGGGAAATTGTATAGTATCTACAAATTCACTTCTCGTATTCAACAATATGGAATGGAGTCATTCTATTTGCATTATATATTTGAGGCCAATAAAGCCAAACATTTCATATTATATAATATAATAAGGCTTAACTATTTGGGCCTACAATTTGCAATTCACCTGCAAATATTCCACAGTTCCCAGTCTCGTGAGCGCATCTAGGTCGATACTGACGTGGCAGCATCACTATTAGTAAGTGGCACATGTGCCCAAAACATACCAAACCCAGAAACATTGTAATACTACTGTGGATTCTTACACAAAGCTCCAGACTGCATTCCAAACTTTATTTTAATGTACTGTTTCCATCAAAAAAATTGTTTACCTTTTGTTACAACTTTCCAATGATATCTCTGCTAACAGAATCCAACAGTACATTTTAATGTTCTTTCTATAGCAATGAATCGGGACACAAAAATGAAAGAAGAATTTTTGAAAATGTAACTTACTAATGGTTAAGCTTTCAACCTAATCAGGTTGCAGAGAACTGTGAATGTTTAATTTCCTTATAACTGGATTTAGAAATTCCCATTCCAGATCTTCTAAATCCACTGCCTAGTTGGTTTTAAATTCTAGGGATCCCATAAAATTTAGAGTCTATAAAAAAACAAAAACGCATGGTGACAATGAGTACAGGACGCAGGCATCATGGCACTAATGTAGGTTTAAATCATATGCATAATTAAAGACATAATATAACCGTACAAAACTGTCTGCAATAAAAGTTAAATAGCAAAACATAAGCAATCATTTAGCCAGAATAGTTGGCAGTAAGAAAGACAGTCATTACAAAAATGCTCATTTAAAGAGATATGAAGAGTAATAGCTATGATGGAGTATGTGAAGAAGATTCTTATTATAGTCACCAAAACAAGTTTAGCTATAGGAAACCGTTTTGATGTATAGATGACGTCACTGCTCAATTCCTAAACACTTCCTGTAAAGAGTCATCTAATGTTTACACTCCATTTATTGAACATTCTGTTTAATTTAGAATTTCTTATTTCCTGCTCTGTTAAGAGCTTCCTAGACCTTGCAGGAACCTCTTTTATGTAATAAAAGTTCAACTTACAGAGCAGGAGATAAAAACTTTTAAAGTAAGTTTATATCTGATTGAAAATGAAACAATGTTGTCTTCAAGCAGGCTGTGCCAGTCACAGCCAGGTGACTGACACAGCCTGCATGAAAACAAGAGGGCTAACTCCTAAATGGCAGATAATTGAACAGTGAAACTTCAGAGGCATGATCTATACACAGGGGCAGGGGCCATTGTTAGTGGCCTCAGACCTTTAGATGAACTGCTGCAAGGAACACTATAGGGTCAGGAATACATATGTATTCCTGACCCTATAGTGTTAAATTCACCATCTAGCCCCTTTGCCCCCTCTTGCCTCCCTAAATATAGTACAATCTTTCTGTATTTAATTCTGCAGCTGCTAGCTCTGCCTCTGTCTGCTCCTGACCTGCTTGCTATCTGCTGACATCGTCAGAAGTGGTGGTCTGAGTCAATCACAATGCTTCCCTATAGGATTGGCTGAGACTGTCAAGGAGGCAGATCAGGGGCAGAGCCAGCATGATTTAAACACAGCCCTGGCCAATCAGCATCTCATCATAGAGATGAATTGAATCAATGCATCTCTATGCGGAAAGTGTCTGGATGCAGAGGGTGGAGACACTAAATGGCAGTGCTGCTCACTGTGCAGCACTGCCCCAGGAAGCACCTCTAGTAGCCATCTAAGGAGTGTCCAGTGAAGTAATCACTAGGCTGTAATGTAAACACTGCATTTTCTCTGAAAAGACAGTGTTTACAGCCAAAAGCCTGTAGCGAATGATTATATTCACCAGAACAAATTCAATAAGCTGTAGTTGTTCTGGTGACTATAGTGTCCCTTTAAATGTTGCACAATTATAGTAAAATATGAATACCTAAAATATATTACTAGAGTAACGCACAAACAATAAGCCTATGGCAATGTACGGCAGGAAGTCCAATGAAATCATGGTTAGATCAGATCTCGGATGATTGAGGACACTTAGACCATTGTGGAAAGTATAATTAAAAGGTAAACAAAGCATGAAAGCATTTAGCTTACCTATAGCCAGAATAAACTGAGAAGGATGATATTGGTTGAGAAACGCTGGCAGATCAGGAAAGAGACTCACAAATACTGCATACAGTCCCATGACCAAGCCTGCCACTGATATGTCATGAATGTGCAAGGTCTACCTACTGAATGCTGGTGGTGTATCCTCCTCAGTATTGTATGCTGAAAAGTACAAGCAACTAGTGATGGCTAAGGCCTTCATGCAATAAAGTATGCCAATCATGAAAAAAATAAAAAGCAACCTACCTTTCAAAATGGGTCGCAAGAGAATACGGAGGACGGGCAGCAGCTGAAATAGCCTGCCCTTCGGTCGGTCCCCGCTCAGTTCTCAAGCTGATTTTTGCTCATCTTGTGCCATTACAGAGAGAACATATCTGAAGCATATCAGACTGGTCCCACCCATATGGGCAGTCCAGATCCGAAATGCCAGCAAGTTCTCTCTGCACGAGAGATACAGCAACCCCAGACGATCGTTTCAGCCTTGTTAGGCATCATCAGTGAGGCATAGCTGATATCTCCCTAGGCACCGTGAGCAAGGGGTCCACGTCTGGATTATCCCTTTAAACTTGTAGAGAGTCAAAAATGGGTCGCAAGAGAATACTGAGGACAGGCAGCAGCTGAAATAGCCTGCCCTTCGGTCGGTCCCCGCTCAGTTCTCAAGCTGATTTTTGCTCATCTTGTGCCATTACAGAGAGAACATATCTGAAGCATATCAGACTGGTCCCACCCATATGGGCAGTCCAGATCCGAAATGCCAGCAAGTTCTCTGCACGAGAGATACAGCAACCCCAGACGATCGTTTCAGCCTTGTTAGGCATCATCAGTGAGGCATAGCTGATATCATATCATAATACTCTTGCGACCCATTGTTTGCTCTCCATTAGTCTAAAGGGTAATCCAGACATGGACCCCTTGCTCACGGTGCCTAGAGAGATATCGGCTATGCCTCACTGACGATGCCTAACAAGGCTGAAACGATCGTCTGGGGTTGCTGTATCTCTCGTGCAGAGAGAACTTGCTGGCATTTCGGGTCTGGACTGCCCGTATGGGTGGGACCAGTCTGATATGCTTTCAGATATGTTCTCTCTGTAATGGCACAAGTTGAGCTAAAACCAGCATGAGTTCTGAGCGGGGACCCACCGAAGGGCAGGCTATTTTAGCTGCTGTCCGTTCTCAGAATACTCTTGCGACCCATTGTTTGCTTACCTTTCAAAATGTACACATCTGCTGCAAGTCAACAAGCTTTGTAGCATCAGAAGTGAGCTCTCATCAAACCATGATGCTATTACTGTTGCGGTCTTAACTTTCTACAGCACTATAAGCAGTCATTTTACAGAACAGCAAGGGATTCTGGGAGTCATAGTTCAATTGTCAGTAGAACTATAGTTTCTGTAATCCCTTACTGTTATCTTACTAACATGACATGGCTTACTTCTTTAGCATCAGCAGGTCTATAAAGCTCTACTATCAATAAATTAAGAGGCTATACCGTCACACTAGGATCTTGTATTATTATTATTTTATAATTTATATAGCACCAGCAAATTCTGTAGCGGTGGACTAACCGACACTTAACTGTAACCAGACAAATGGACACACAGAAAATAGAGGGGTTGAGGGCCCTGCTCAATGAGCTTACATGCTAGAGGGAGTGGGTTATAGTGACACAAAAGGTATAAGTAGGGGTAATGAAATAGGTTGCTAGAAAAGTATTCACTGGGAACTTAGTAGGTTATTTTTGACAGTTGCAGAAGAGGAGGGGGGGAGGGAGGAGGGATGAATGAAAACCTGCTAACAGTTTAAATTATATGCTCTCATGAAGAAGTGTGTTTTCAAAGATTGTTTTGAAGGAGTAGAGACTGAGTGGAAAGTCTAACAGAGAAGGGAAGGGAGTTCCACAGAAAAGGTGCAGCCCTGGAGATTCCTGTTATTGGTCATTATAGGGTTACTGCGACTGTCATGACCGCTTTTGCTTTTAGAAGTGGTCATGGTTTTAGAATCTATATGTGTAGCGTTTCTGCTTACAACGCTATACATACAGAGATATATGGACTTTTGTGCCAGGGGTTATTTATACATCCGGCACACAGAACTTTGCGTAATGTTAATTCTGTGCAAAAATTAACATCTGTTGTCAGTGCGCTGGTGCCAGATGTTATCAGCTTCTACCTGTGCAGGCAGTGCTGGGAGTGTGCCTGCAAGAGGAGGCCTGGATCTCCCCTCTATCATTTCAGCTCTCCCATCCCCCCTATAGTCCTTAATGTAGATCCTTTACTTCTAGTTTTCTCCCTCCCAAGCTCAGAGCAGGCATGCACTCTGAGCCAGTGAGCATTATCCAATCAAAGACTTCTCTATGAGAAGTATTTGGTTGGCCCACAGCAAGGGACGGAGTGATGTCAGACAGGAAGAAGAGACCAGCGAGGGGAGCTTTGCCCGTCCATGAATTTCAGTTATGGTATTTATTATTTTCCTGGATTTTTTATTTTTATTTTTTTTAAATTAAGGGTGGAAGGTTTACAAAGTAAGTAATAACTATAAATAATAATAAAAGGGTTGGATTAACCCATTAATGTGTTGTGCGCAAATATGTATGCGTTTGTGTAGATATATTATTAGACATAATTTGTCATTGCAATGTACAGAGCTGAAGAAATTCTCGTGTTTTCCGAGAGTTAATTTGGCTGCTAGTAATCTGTCTGGAGATCTCTACCGTATTCTTATTTTATTTCTAAGCATGTTAATCAGGACCAGTTGGAAAAACAAAGAGATGGTGATATACAAGTCGTATTTCATACAAGGTGACCAGGATATAGTCTACGAACTCGTTAATGGCAAACAGTAGAAAAAAATCAGACTCCTGCTGGGTTTGCTTTATACTGATTTAAGAAGTAAAAATTAGTGGTACATCTAGAGTGAATGCCATTCTGCTAGGATGATCCAGATATTTGGGTATTTCCCAAAGAAATGTAATATTTAGCAATTAATTCTGGGATGTCAGGATTAGCCTGGTGTGTGCGTGTATGTATACATTGTTATATGTTTACATACACTTTTTCTATCCTTTTAACAGTGTTCTAGTCTGCCTGTAACTGTATATCACACGCAAAGAACCAATTACTGAGAAGTTCAACTGAAATAAAAGAGGAAACGTAGTGACTCAAATGAGAGCCTTTATCAAGGTTTTGCATTATTTTGATAGGTATAGCTGGTTACTCTGGATTATGTGGCAGTGTGTCATTCCTAACTAGAGTCATTCCTTGTGGTATAAAGTTTTTTAAAGAGACACTACAGTTACCAAAACAACTTTACCTCAATAAAGCAGTTTTGGTATATTGATTATGCCCCTGCAGTCTCACTGTTCAATTATCTGCCATTTAGGAGTTAAATCACTTTGTTTATACGGCCCTAGCCACAACTGCATGAGACTTACACAGCCTTCCTAAACACTTCCTGTAAAGAGTCATCTAATGTTTACACTTAATTGCAAATTCTGTTTAATTTAGAATTTATCTCATGCTCTGTTAATAGACAGAACCTGCAGAAGCCTTCTGTACGTAATTAAAATTAAATTTACAGAGCAGGAGATAAAAACATTTAAAGTAGGTTACATCTGATTGAAAATGAAACCAGTTTTTTTTTTTTCATGCAGGCAGTGTCAATCACAGCCATTTAACGCCTAAATGTGAGAGAATTGAGCAGTGATACTGCAGGGGCATGATCTATACAGCAAAACAGCCATGTTAAGTTAAAGTTGTTTTGGTGACTATAGTGTCATTTTAACTGTAGCCCAGATATCCTAGATTCAATCATCCTTCTTCACTGGACTACACAACCCTTATAGGTATGTACACGGGTTGTGTAAGGCTCACCTGGTCTGCCTCTCCTCCATTTAGTCCCTTGACTGCAAGTTTGTGCCAGTTTAGATTTGTTTTTTCTCTATGGGAAGATAAAAATCATAACAATCTACTGTATTTTTGTATAGACCAGCATATCACTACACAAAATGTGTGTGTTGATTTTTTGAATTAATTTTTTTAAAGTTTGCATTTTTTTCCAAGTAAGTTCTGCTCACGAATAACAGGACAAAAAGTATTGTAGATAACACCAACAACAACAAAAAAAAATCATACTTTTCAATTTATATGAAAAATGAACTACCAAGTTTTGCGATGTTCTTGAGACAAGTTAAGCTGCTGCGGACTGTAGTGCAGGCTAAGGTGACAAATGGAATAATATTGGTTTTATCCGACATCTAATAAGACTCGAATACAGTTTTTATCCTCTGTCACTCAAACATCGTATTATACTAGCATTGACGGTTTGCTAGCTTTGCTACAAATTATAAACAAAAAACCCCCAACATTTTAGAAAAACATCTTGGCATATGTTCTCTATTCAATTCTCTTGTGAAATCCTTATCTGTTCAGTGTTGGTTTGTGCATTGATTTATAGGACAGGAAGCCTTTAATGTCATTAATAAGGCATGTAGACTTTTTTTTCCAAACTAATTTACAAGTTTCAAACCACAGGCATTTTTTGTCTGGGCTGGTCGAGGGAATTACAATCTGATTTTGTAAGGGAGCAGTTTACCCTGCCTTGTAATAGATATATTTACTAATGTTCAATATCAAATCCTAACAGGCTTAAATTCTTACATGACAATGAAACCCTAGCAAAAAGAGCACTTGAATTGGGAAAGTAGTAAGGTGTGATAAGTCGGAAGATATTCATTCTAAGAGTCATTAGCAATTAATGGTGCTCTCAGTAGTATGCTTGGCAAATACTCTTCCATTATCTGACGTTCTTAAAAGACTTGAGCTATGTAAGACAGTCAGTAGTTTATTGTTCACCTGAAAACAAAACTTCTTGATCGACCCTTTTGGAAGACTATACATAGTTATATTTGTTGGGTAACTGATCTGACTCTATAATAAATGCATAATTAATCTCACATTTTTACTGAGAAATCCGAGTAAAGAATAGCCCAGTGCCACTCCGGAGCACCGTGGAGTGGATCCGTAGTCCCTTGTAATAACTTCAAATCAATAGTCCAAATTCATCACGGTGTAATGCAATAACAGTGAGATTTTATTAGGATCAGAAGAATATGATTTTAATCTTCTGACCCGAATAAATCTCACCTTTTATTGCATTACACATTTTAACGTTCAGGTACTTTAGAAAACGAGATTTAGACCATAAAGTCGCTTTCACTTTTATTTATACTCCAGGAATGATTACAAACCTGTAGAGGAACACATTTCTCTGACAGGAATCAAATTCCACTTATTTAATATATACAAATAATATTGTAAAGCGCTATAGAATCTGTTGGCGCTATATAAATGATGATGATAATAATAAAATGTGCTGAAAATTTGATCTTCCCCTCCTTCCAAACAATAAAGGAGGTTTCAATAAGTCATAACATTCTTACAGTTTGGTGGGGGGGGGAGGGGAGTGAATTAGCGCTCCCATTTCACAGTCAGCATTGCATGCACATTTCAGGGATTAATACAGAACTATATGAATTTAACAGTATTTAATATGTGGACATTATGCTCAAATGCAGACATTCTATTTACATTTTGTTACTATTTTCAATAAGCTGCAATACTAGTAATGCTATACAATAATTGTTTATGGCCGGAGAGAAGAGACTCTGGTTTGGAAAGTACTAGCAGCCATATCTATACCAGACAAGCGCTAAGAATCTCACCGTATTTATCTATTTGTAATGCTAGTAATGCCATCAGCGTATTTCCAAATACCTATAAACAGACTATTTGACCATATTTATCAAACCTCCTGTATGTGACAAACTATATTTTTGCATTTCAAATGCTCCATAAAATATTATATTATTGAGGGATTCAGTATACAGTCTAAAGCTTTTCAGCTTATATAAAAGTTTTAAATAAAAGACATGCAAAAAGAATTACATAATGTGACACCCTCATCCTATGTAGCTGGGACAGATGAGCAGTGTGGATGGGCACCAGTTAGGGAACGCAGATTTGTTAGATAGATTTAGCTTTGCAATCATGTTTCATAGCTTCCCATATAAACCTTGTCATTATCTGATGTTTATGTGGCTGTTAGTAAGGCTCTACCAACCATTTAAACAAGGCCTGGTTCACATAGGAGCTCCAGCTCCAGCTCCACGGCCATGCCTATGGAATAGTCCCTTTGAAATGTTTATTTTTTAGTATGGTAACTTAAGAGGGACGTAGGGGAAAAAAGCTGACTTTGCACACTATGCACATGATCTTACTGCTTCACTCGCTCTAACACTGTGGCATGTTCCCTTTCTTCTACGCTCACTACCTACACCTTTACTCTGTCCCAGACTGTAAAAGAGTAGCTTCTGCCTGATAGTGAGAAGGTTAGGAGAGGAGTGGGCCAGCGAGTGCTAGGGCACAGTCCTTAGAAAGTGTAGAGCTAGCACATCATTAGAAGCATTTATTCCAAGCTCAGGGTGCTGTCTGTATAGTATGCCCTTGGTTGGTCATCCTGCATGAATGGCAGGCAAGCTGACCATCTAATTCTATGTACAGACACACACCCTTTTTGGGCATGTTTGTTCCTTTGAGCGGTTCTGGTTACGTGATTCACATCAGTGGCCCACCCTTTTACCCCGCGCACTGAAATCCTGTATCACCAGACACTGCTGTTAAGGGTATGGATTTACTTGAAAGATGAAAGTGAGAGATTAGGCATAGGTTATGTGTTTTCTGATAGCTATATTCTGTGAGTTTTCCTCCAGCACCACCTCCCCCAGATACAGGATGCTTGGGAGGTATGACTCTTTTAGTGTATTCGGTTGATAAGACTCTGTAATTATGTCCATCATAATTGTCAGCACCAGGCCCAATGGGCTCTTAATCTGGTCCTGCATTTAAGGTGTCTTTTTGAGGTACATTTTAATAATGAAAACATTTTTTAAAAATGGGGAGAAATTCAGGATTATTTGCTAATGAATGAATTTAATCGGGACCAGTGGGATTTAGTTAAAATAACAGAGATGTGCTCATTAGGTTGAAATAATCAAATTTCAACCTGATTGCACATTCATTCAGTACCATTCAGTGTCTGCTATAAAATATGTAATTCTTGATCACAAATCCCATATAAAATATAAGAATATTTGCCTTGTATATTTTGTAAAAGGCAAACTCACAAATCAAATTCACCTGCTTTTTATAGTTGAACCCACATACCTTCACTTTTAATATATTAAAAGAAAGATAATAATACTAATGAAATTCCTCATTTTTATAAAATAAAATCATATTCCTATTTTTCGATCCTAAACTTTCATGTTTTAATTTTTGGTGTATAATATCTCTCTCTACAGAATGAACATTTTCTTCCTCAATAATCAAAATGATACAACTGACCATTTTTTTTGCAGTGTACTAACTTGTATTAGATTTGGCCAAAATCTGCCTGCAAATTTGGTTCAACTGAATTTGCAGACAAAAAGTGACTAATTCTGATTATATTATTAAAAAAGAAAAGCGTTCGGTTGTATATGTCTATCATTATGCTCTGGATTTCAGTGTTTTTGTTGCATTGAGACCAGGGCTGTTTTTAATATTGATTAGACCCTGGGCAAGCATTTGCTTGGGCCCCCTGGACCCAGACATCTTAAAGAGGTTACTGTGAATGAGACAAAGTTGGGCAGTGAGTGTGACAGGTTTGGGGGCATTAAATTGACACAGTGGTGTGGTATGGTTGCGGGGTGAGTGTTACAGGGTTGGGGTGAATGTGGCATGGTTAGAGGAGGAAGTGTGACATGATTAGGGATTGATTCATGTGACAGGGTGTGTACAGTATGATTGGGGGAATGAGTGTGACAGAGTTGGAGGGGTTAATGTGATTTGGTGAGTGTGGCAGGGTGAAAGGGGGTGAGTGTGACAGAGTGATGGAGGATGAGAGTGAAAGCATGGAAGGGTATTTGTGACAGTGCGAGAGAAGATGAGTGTGACAGGATTAGGTGGATTAATGTGATAGGGTGAGTGTGGCAGAGTGAGAGAGGGTGAGTGTGACAGCATTAGGGGAGTTAAAGGATCACTATAGTGTCAGGAAAACAAAGCGGTTTTCCTGACACTATAGTGCCCTGAGGGTGCCCCAGAAGACAGCCACTAGAGGCTGGATTAACCCCAAATGTCTCTGAAACTGCTATGTTTGCATCTGAAGGGTTAAAACCTGAGGGACCTGGCACCCAAACCACTTCATTGAACTGACGTGGTCTGGGTGACTATAGTGTCCACTTAATGTGAGTTTTATTGGATGAAAGGCATTGTGTGGAGGGCGACATGAGTGTATGTGTGCAGTGTTGAACATGCAGGGGTGTATGTATTGCCACACACAGATACACCCTTACACACACAGGTGCAGGGGTGTATTTGTGTGCAGTGTTGGCATTGAAATACTGGGCTGTATGCACTGCCACATGCACAGGTATGCACACACACACAGATACACAGGAGCAAAAAAACACTGACAAATAGATACACATGCAAAAGCAAACATACTGATGCACAGGTACACACATACAGGTATATAAACACACATGTACACATACATACACAGATACAAATACATACACACTGACACACAAGTACATACAAACACGGACACATAGGTACATACAAACACAGGTACACATATACTCTGACACACAGGTAAACATACACTGACATACAGATACACATTCACTGACATACAGATACACATACACTGACACACAGATACACATACACAGATACACATACACAGACACATAAACATGTGTAAACATGTACTCTGACACACAATTACACACAAACACACATACACTCTGACACACAATTACATACAAACACACATACACTCTGACACACAGGTACAGATGCACTATGACACACAGATACATACAAACACAGACACTGTGACACACAAACACACATACACTATAACACACAGATACACATACACTCTGACACACAAACACACATACACTCTGGCACATGGGTACACAAACACACAGGTACACATACACACACAGATATGCACAATCTCACATACACAAGTACATATATAAATAATAATGTATGTTTTCTTACTTTTGCTGCAGTGCACTGGGGTCCAGTGGGAGCTGGCTGACCTAAGGTGATGGGTGTCAGCCTTCTTTAGAATACCTCTTGTGTCTGCCACCTCCTCCTCCCCACGGGGCTCTCTATTAGCTGGCCGGGAGGAAGTGACCTGTACTCACTCCTCCCAGAAGGCAATACGATCCCAGCCATGATCCGCAAGGGAGAGGGGCCCAGCCGCGGGGAAACACATTGTTAGGGGCCCAGCCACGGCCCTCATGATTTAAGGGCCCACAGGAAATATGGGAGTCTGGCCGTGGTCTGTCTGGGAAGAGGCCCGGTCCGGTGAAAAATTAAAGGGCCCGCGGGGCTCAAGGGGCAGATGCTTTGGGCCCCCAGGAATAAATGGGCCCGGGGCAGCTGCCCCTTTTGCCCCGCGATAAAGACGGCCCTGATTGAGACAAGCTAATATCCAGACTACATTTATGTTAATCCAGAGTCTGTTATTCAAAATATGGACATGGGTAAATATTCTGTCCACATATTGTGTCCAAATGCTCCGATAATATTTTTAATTCTGTGGACTGAAGCATTTGGTATCTAGTGAATAAAACCGATTTTTATTTTTTTAATAGGCTACATTATTTGCATACTTCCATAAGTAAATTTATAAATCCTTGGAGTGTACATATTTATACAGGTTAGAGAAATAATATAGTTTGATATCAACATTCACCCATCATAAGCCAGTGGGCATAACATATTACCCCATACAGGTGCAGTTCTATATAACATTATTAGGCTGAACTGCCTTGTGGTGGATTGAGGGGTCTTATTTTTTTCGATTTTGTTTTACCAGGAAGAATATTTTGAGATTTCCCTAATTTTCACATATATTCTGGAGCTCACAAACAATGTAATAATGTTAGAGGTTTGTGGATGTGGCACATACAAAACAAATCTTGTTGTATAAATTGCTTAGGCGCTAGGAAACACTATGATTATAAAAGCCAAATTAATATATTGTGTTATTCTTTAGTTTCTTGATAAAATACACATATGACAGTAATAAATAGAAAACAACAACAATTAAATAAACACAAGAACTAAACTAGCTAGCTTCTAGATTTGAATTTCTATGGTAGAACATTGTCTGAAAAGGAAGGAATAGCTGGCTTGTTCTCTATAGATCTCAGGTCAAGAAAAACCTTTCCTCGTTGGTCAAATAAAATAAGAGAGACTTTAATCTTACCTACAAACAGCTCCCTTTATCTTCCTGAAACAGGAGAACTCTTCAGTTGTCTTGTTTTCAAATGTACTTTAGCTGCCACTGAATGAAGATCCTGATGCTCACTTAATGTCCTCCCCTGTATCTCGAACCATCTAAATTGATGTCTAAATAAACACAATGAAATGATCTCTGAGCTCAAGTTTAAAGGATCTTTTGTGTGAAATCTTAAGGTCATAGTGACTTTGCCAACACTTCTATTGTTTGTCGATTTAACAGGATGGCGATTTCGGCCTATACTCAGTAGGGTGTGAATCTGCTTCTTCAAACAGATAAGAACTTAACACTCACATGAAAGACAGCAAACTTTTAGCCATTATCCTGCTACTTGACTAAGCACCTTCTTCTAACATATACTTTGAGGATTATTTGTCCTAACAGGAATTGAATATATTTGAAGATTTTAGGCAACAATAGTACAACTGTGTAAATTCTCTAACTAAATGTTTCCAAACCTGCCATTTTTCCTTAATATTTTGAATTTCGGAGAACTGACAAGAGTTGCAGTGTAAAGGGGCACTCTCTACGTACTACGACCCTTACAGCTGGAAGTATCAACACACACTTTTTTTTGGTTAAATTGTTTGGGAGCAGTTTCAAGCACCCAAGAAAGTTCCTCCCTGACCCAAGTTAATAATGTAGAACTTACATTTCCACATTGCCAATCTGAACTTGGTCTAACTTGGACCCCTAACACACCTTCAGAACTGTCAGACAATCATCTATATCCAGGTTACAAAGAATGCATATTGGTAATTTACTTTCTTATATCACAATACATTTTGGTATGTGAGAAGATACGTGTACCAACCATCCAATGGAGAATGGACATCTATCCAAATTACGGTTCTCTTTGGCCACTCATACCACTCACTCTAACTATTGTTCATCTACAGCACTTAACGTATAGCATTTATGATTGTATACATGGCCGTCCTGGCTTTAAGATGTAATATTATCTTTCTTCTTTTTAGGCAGCTAGCGGTTTACCAACCGTTGGTAGTTTTGTGGCAGCATCAGGCATGACTCCATACCCCACTCCGGCACCCGTCTCACCTTACATGACATACGGCACAGCAGCACCCACAGGATATGTGACGGGACATGGATGGCAACACACTGCGGGTACGCCACTATCGCCGCATAACTGCGACCTCACTGCATCACTGGCATTCAAAGGCATGCAGACCGCACGAGAAGGTAACTATCAACTGACAGCCAAGAAAAGAACAGCATTGTGCAGTGCCAAAGAAATGACACAGGTGACAAGGTAAAGATTTTATCGGAATGTAATAAATGGTTCAGGACACCTGAATTCCATATTGTGATTCTTTACCTTGATAAAGACCTAGACAAGATGGAACCCTTGTTCCCAGTAAAAATTTATCCATGGTGCAACCAGAAGGGAAGGGGCAAGGGGTGACAGACCCCGGGTCAGAAGTCAAACTACTAGAAAATGGTTAGACTATTTACATTGGAAGTGGCAATCCAACCGCATCAGCATGCTATAATGGTTACGGTGCTCGGAGTTTTCATTTAACCAGGGAGAACACACAAATGTATTGTATGTTCTGAAACCTGTCATTCTAGCCAGTGCAACTGTGTTTTCTGTGTTAATGGCCAAGTTTCAAGAGCAATGTTAAAAAATAATGCTTACTTAATGGATTCCCATTTCATGATTTAACATGACTGTCTTTTCTTTGCATTAACAGCAGAAGATACGAAAGCGGCCATCCAAACACGCAAGTCTCCGCAGTCTTATCACACAGCCCCAAGGCACGGGACAGTTGCTCATATGCAAAGCGCATAAAAATAAGTGACGCGACCAGCACAAATCCACTGCAATATTTCTCCTGAAACATTCAGAAGTGCATCATTCATTGTGTTTTACAAACGGCTGGAGACCAAAAATGGATTACAACAGATAAACTGACCTCCACAAACATACGTCCAAGTATCTCCTTCACACAAATTAAAGGTCAACATGGCGGGTACTTTTGGATAGCACCTCTGTGAAAGACCTTTCTGTAACATGATGGAACCACATTGCCGTATGTTTAAACATTGCTAGCCATGCAAGTGAAATCAAAACTCTTTTCATTTTATGCCCAGAATCGATAGAGACGATGCAGTTTGGACATGTAAAAAGCAGGAAAACTAAAACAATGAAAACGTATGTCATTAAAACCTAATCTAAATGTGAAGAGGAAATGAAGGGACATTGGACATATACCTCATGTTGTGTATAGCTGTTTATTTTATTTTTTTTAACAGCTCAAAATGGGGTCACTGGGTTTTAAACCTAAATTATACATTGGACATCAAGGCCACTCAAAGCAGCCAAACCAGATGAGATCTGAAGGACTTTGTCAAACAATATACTTCTCTATTACCCCCTTCTTACTGTTACATAGCAGGTCTGCACAGATCGTGACCAGGGTAAATATGGGAAATGGCATATCCAACGCAAAAGGAAATGTGAAAAAAATGTTTTGTTTGTAATGTCCTTTATATTTGTTTAACTTTTAAGTATTGTGTCCCAATTTGACTATAATAAATGGGGTGGGTTAATAATTGTAGAATATTGTAGAGGTCCATGGTTCTGAGTGTAGATTATTGCAAAGAAATTTAAAAAAAAATCCTTAAGACTGAAATTGAGCAGTCTTTTAAAAATTAAGTTCAGCTAAAAGTTCTTTGTTATTTGTTTTAGTTTTTTTTCTTTTTCTTTTTAATTCCATGGATGTTTAATATTTTGCTCATTAGACAGCCAAGCAATGCACTTGTCTTACAGATCAGTTGGACCTGGTGTGGTTTGTAAATTTCACATAACTTAATTGTTTAATCAATGATGGCCTAATCCATTGTTTATCGACAGATGGTTAATCTGAAGCACTTAAACGGCATGAAACTGTAATTGCAGTACTATAAAAATCTGGTCCAAATAGGGAATATTGTAAAGTTCTGTAGAATGATAACACATCCACTAAGTCTTTAAATTCTGTCACTTTCATATTACAGGCAATACATGTCTAAACATGACCTTAGGCATGAAGGGACTCTGTAATTTTCTGGTAGGCTGTAGGTAGGTTTAATCATGCAGTGAAAAGCCTATCTAGGTTGAAGTTTATGCAGGTTCCCCTTGTGATGTATATGTCCCTTACTCTGGAGTTCTAATAAAGTGGAAGGACCTATCCCTGTATGATACCTGTCTCTTATTTGTTACAGAAGATACAGAAAATATTACAACTCTACATGGCTAAAGCACAGTCATATTTTTTTCTCGATTGCCTAGTCGTAAGTGTATCCGTCATGCAAACATGATAACAGACAAAATTATATTATATTTTCGTCTTGGCAAAAATAAAGAATTAAAAAAATAATAATAATTATATTATATTTTTAATTTGTAGAGAAAGGTCCTCCCCTCTCATTTTTTTTCTTTACTACTGTGCAATTTACCATTTTTGAATGCGTTTGAAATATATAGTTTGTTCAAAATATATGAAAAACCCCCCTGCAAAGTAAACTGTAAGACAAAAAGTGACTGACATCCTAAAGCAGGGGTAGGCAACCTTCGGCACTCCTGATATTGTGAACTACATCTTCCATAATGATCTTATAGTCATAATGCTGGCAAAGCTTTAGACAAGAAGTAGTCTACATCTAGAGTGCCTGAGGTTGTCTACCCCTGTCCTAAAGGAGCACTTGAAGCAGTGCACTGTAGTTGTTATGGTGCCTCTTCATTGTAAGTAAATAAAAGATTTCAGAACAGTTTGACTAATTAAATTTAGGACTATTCAGTTTGACTTCTTACCTGCACCGTGCCTCCGCTACATCTATCAGAGAGCTGGAGCATCTGTTAGCAGCATGGCTAGCTCACTGGTTGGGCGCTTCAGGGGATTGCTCTCAACCAATGAGCTAAGACCTTCACCACCGAAGTGGGGAGTGGTGCTCGGCAGGCCCCAGGTAAAAAGTAACATACTTCAAAAATGTTTTAACTACTTACAATGGGAGAGGGGCACCTTGCACCATATTCAGTACAAGAATACACAAGTTATTATGGTGCTTGGAATATCCATTTAAGGGGAAAGTAGATGAATAGATGCACTACGTATCCCCAGGGAGGAGTTTAAAGGAAGCTTCAGATATTGCATTTACTTTCAGGAAATGACACTAGCATGATATATTGTTTACATTTTAATATCTACTAAAGTTGACATCATCACCAACACCTTTACATTTGGCTCTTACACTTTACACTCAGAGGACCATCAAATTTAACTACTCCAATAATCCACATGATGTTATTAGGAAAAATCATAAAAACAACTGACACTATTTCTAAATTCCACTCAAATCCTTTAAGAAAATAAACCACTTTTAATAAAAATAACCAACGTCTGAAAATAGCGCACAAAAAAAGTTTGAAAAATATAATACATGCCGTTTAGTAAACAAAACCGTTAATGTGACAAAAAAACCCAACTAATTAGAAACAGAAAACGATGATAAAATTTGAAGTCAGAGATTCAGCAATCAGCAGCTTTTCAGTTTACATAGCACTAAAACCGCTATTATGGGAACTTTATCTCCTCAACAGCTAGTGGGCAATCAATGGGTAAAATGCACAGTGCCATAAAGGATACAGTCCTTAATTGTTGTGGTGATCATGGTTACTGTTAAACAGACAAAAAAACTTAAAATAATATTTTAATGTGATCAGCAAAAGATTAGTGGTTTATACAGATTGTCAGTAGAGACAATAGATGGATAGAGGACTGTGATGTATAATTAGTCTAAAACATTCAACCCACCAACCCGCAATACCAAGGCTAAATAATCCATATGGCTTATAATGGCTCAGAGCATTAAATGGATCTTACACTAGGATACATACTTATGACAATGGCCTAGAAAATGCTTGAGAACCACAGACACATACGTGCTACATACTATCACATTTCTATTTGATTGCTGCGATAACTCCGGACACATTGTGACATAGTAACAGTGACATCATACATACCTTCGGTGATGTCACAGAATCTATAAATAGTGAAGCTGTTGTTAGTTACTTATTCCATGGGCAGAAGAGAGAGAGGGAACATTAAAAGATTGGTATCCTGGCAGACAGAGGAAATAGCTCAGGGATATCAATAAATGAGGTACAGTAATTATAAAATTCATTGTAAAATCAGAACATTACACATTTGGTCTTTTAGATAGCTTTTGAGTTAATAGCAACGTTTGAGTTTATTTGTGTGAATTGTTGAACATTTACCAATAATTTTCAGTCATAATAGCAGAATTAGGGGGAAAAAGTCTCAAAATAAATCCCTGTTTAATATCAGGCGTATTGAAAATGGAAGCACAGTTGACTTGAGAAAGTTCTGCAATTTTAGCTTGCAATGTGAAATTCACTTTGCGTTCCCAACACTTGTCACTTCAGTAACTCTGTATGGGCAAGAAACTTCCCATAAAACAGCGCTATACTGAGGAGAGAACATGTTATTATTTTGTTCTCTCTGTTGATATACATGCTAATACAGATCTACACAATTTTATCTTATGGGTTGCTTTATTCCAGCCATTCTGAAATGGTTTTCATTTGCTTAAAATATCTCTCTATGTACCATAACAACTACTGTTCACTGTAGTGTTTATGGTGCTTGGAATGCCCTGGCCGTCTCCCAGTGAAAGCATTCAAACCGCATAAGAATGGTTTGATACTTTACTTGGAGGCTCCCCAGCACCTCTTCCTCTGCAGCCCAAAATTAGCATACGGTTTGACCACTTACCTTATTGGGTGTCAATACACTCCTGGTGCGATAACCTCTGCAGCGTGCTGTAGTGATCCTGGTGCTTGGAGTGTTCGTTTAAATGCATAGATAATAATATCCTGAATGAAGCTGTTAGTGCACGAGAGATCTATAGATCCCCAGATATTGTAGGACTACAAGTCCCATGACGCTTTGCATGCCTTTAGAATGACAAAGCATCATGGAAGCTGCAGTTTTAAAACATCTGGCGATCTGCCTTCTGGGCACCCCTGATATAGATGTTCTATCTGGAAATAACAAAAAAGGAGAATGAGCTCTAGAATTCATAAACATGACCAGTTAGTAAAATTGTGATTATCTTTATGGTTTAAAAAAAATAAAAAGTATCATTAAAACAGAGAAAGATATTGGGAGATATAAATAAAGGGTGACAAGGAATTGTTTCAGGCTAGACTAGCTCTTAACTATAATGAAATAGATTGAGAAAGCATTAACTCACGAGACTCCATAACAGACCAGCCTTTATGGATCCGGTATCAAAATGGAATGTCCTCCTCTCAGCTTCATCACAACATTCCATATCAGCACAGGGACTTTAGGGGACAGATTGCAATGACTGTATAAAATCCCACTGGTCCTTCACAGGTTAATAGTGTACTGTTTATAGAATATACTCTGAACATCTATCCAAATGTACTAGACACACAAACACTATTTACGAAGCACTGTGAGCTCCCTCAAAAATATACAATCATTTTCCCAGATGTTAGTTGATCGATTGTATGATTTTGAATGTATTGTCATGATCTATTCCAGCATATTCTTAGATAGAGGTGGGGAGATGGGGTTATTTGCTCATCAAGCTAAGAGTTGGGAGCATAAAAATGTAAAAATATTAACTTATTCAAAATAGAATGAATCACTCACAGGATTATTCACTACACTGGGAGTTGCCAGCAACCGGGAGTTAGACATTTTTGCAAAAAATCAGAGGAGGAAAAATAGCTGAATTTAAGAATTATTCCCACCTGGTTATTTTGACGTAAGATTTGTAATTCCCAAGGTAGTAAATAGATCGAGAATAAAGACCAACAACATGAAATGTGGGGCAGAAGACAAACATCCCTCACCCCAAATATTCCAGATCTAAAAATACACTATTATAAGGGTTTTAAAGCCATTTTTTTCGGTATTATAATTTCGTGTTTTTTGTTGTTTTTGTTTGTTTGTATTGTGCTTTGTATTCTACCAGTACTGACTGACAAATTAAATATCCAAGGACTTAACCTTCTATAACATTTTCCAGCGGCCTGGAAAAAATAATTTCCCCAAAACAATATGTCAGATGAGAGCAAATATTTATTTCTGAACTCTGTCTTTCAAAGAGAGTAAAAACAAAAACCAGAAAGATTGCATCGCTTTGCATGTAGCGTGCGTATAGGTGGGGGTGAAAGGGGGGGGGGAGGAAATAACTTTCATTTTTTTTTAACTTAGTTTTTAAAATCGCTTAATTACATTTACAAGCAAGACTTGCATCTTACAAATCGAGGTGTCTTTCAATAAGACCACTTTCCTAGGTATATTACTAAGGTTCTAATAATAAAGTATTTTATTAGGAAGGATATAGCAAAACTTTCCCTTGTCTTGAAGCATAAATATTAGACTTATCCACAAATCCCTTTCATCTGTGCGAACGATTCAAATGCCTGTCAAACCATGCACAAATCTATTCATTTGGGTTTGCTAAACAAATCGATTTTTTTTCTGTTCATTAATTGACAAGCGTTTGATTCGTTCAGCGCAGCTGTAAATGGATTTGTGCACAAGTCTAGTAAATATAACCCACTTTAATGGTACTCATTTTATCAGCCTCGGAAATATGAAAAAGGCTAAGCTGACCCAGTTACAGCTTGTATCACATTCTAAAAACATTCAGAAACCTTTATAAGTGTAGTTGTGCTGAAACACAATTATACAAGGACCTTTTATATAAAGGAACTAGTGTTCTTCTCACACGTTAAATGCAGGTTTCCCCTAAGTTTAATTATATGATAACACAATAAAAAAACTTTTTTACTCACCATTGCAGCGCCGAGACTCACTTAGTGTTGTTGCCCACTCCTACCACTACGTCATCCTGCAGACGTTACTTCTTGGCTTCTCATCCAATGCAATGGTTCTCATAGGAAAGCACTGAATCCAATTGCAAATGGCAATGCTTTAGATTGCGGCGCTAAAATTCCATTTATAAGGTGCCAACAAATTCTGCGGCGCTGTACTAGGTGGACTAACAGACAATATATGCTTTTTATGCTATTCTTATCCATGTAGCGGGGGACTGCAAAGACCATGCTTATTAGAATGGAGGTGGGAAGAAGCCAGATTGAAGAGGGTCGAGGCGAGAGTTGTAATTGAGAAAGTGAGCTAGATGGGTAAAGACAAGTCATTACAGAAGCTTTGAGAAGAAAGGGAGCAGAGATATGAGGCAGTATATTAATGGGGAATACGGGTCAGGAAATGGCCTTTTTTAAGATGGGTACGACAGTAGCAAGTTTAAGGGGATCGGGGATAATGCCAAAAGAAATAGAGCAGTTGAAGATATGTGTTAAGGGTGGCACTAGACAAGGTGAGAGAGATCTGATAAGGTGAGATGGGACAGGATCAAGTGGACAAGTGGAGGGACGAGAGATAAAGAAGAAGCGTAGCCACCTCTAGTTCAGTAATAGGGGAGATGGTCTGAAGGTAGGAAAGGTATCAACAACGTATGCAGAGATGGCTCTGAACAGGTGAACTGAGGGAACTTTAAATGATGAGAAAGAGAGGGAATGTGGGGGGTGTCGAGGTTTGGAAGGGCAGTAAGGTGAAAGCATAAACCCTACCCGATTGTTTTGGGCTGTGAGTAAAATGAAGGCCACCAAAGGATAATGAGGTAGGGATAGCAGTGTCAGAAGGAGAGAGCCACAATCTTCCAGAAATGTTACCTCTGCGTAAGGATTTGGCTGCAGGACTTGGTAGCTCTGAGTCCTGAGTGCAAAGTTATGAATGCTGCTGTTTGGGGCACAGGCTCTGCATAAGGTTAGGCTGCAAGAATGTGTGGACACACAGGTACTAATAAAATACACAGTATGGTAAAGACCTGTAACTTGAGTTCCTACATGTCATAAAATCATCTGTCTGTTTGTGTATTCTGACACAGATATAAAATGCATTGTGATCAGAGAATTGTTTTACATTGCATACAATTTGCTTGGTAGAAAGCGGCAACATACTTTTGGTATGATGGTTTGCAAATAAGCTAAAATACCATGTTAATCTTGGCTAAATGTCACAATAAAAGATTTGGCTTTTTTTTTTAGAATGATCCATAGTGATGTTCATTAATATGGTCCGGTATGTAAGTCTTCCACCAACTCCATTTTATTATTAATAATATTTTATTATTTATATAGCGTCAGCAAATTCTGTAGCGCTGTACAATGGGTGGACTAACAGACCCGTACTTGTAACCAGACAAATGGACGCACAGGAACAGAGGGGTTGAGGGCCCTGCTCAATGAGCTTACATGCTAGAGGGAGTGGGTTATAGTGACACAAAAGGTATAAGTAGGGGTAATGAAATAGGTTGCTAGAAAAGTATTCACTGAGAACTTTTTGACAGTTGTAGGAGAGGGAGGAAGGGGGGAATGAAAACCCACTAACAGTTTAAAAGATATGTGAGATTTTTTTGAAGTAATGGAGACTGGGTGAAAGTCTAACGGAGAAGGGAAGGGAGTTCCACAGAAAAGGTGCAGCCCTGGAGAAGTCTTGGAGGCGAGCATCAGATGTGGGAGTACGGAAGATGCATATGAAGATGCTTTGTCAAACCTCATTAATACCATGAAACCTTGCCATTTTGTTATGAGGTGTAGAATTTCCAGGTGGACCCAAAGTATTTAGAAGGGTTTCCATATTTGCAATTTACTGACACTGGCAAACTGATATGGAACAAACATACTGAAAGTTGCTTACCACGTAAGTTCACTCTAAGATTTATATCAAGCCATGCTGGGTATCTGGTCAACTAATTTGAGTAGATAATGACTGAACTCTTAACAGAAACACTGACCAAATAATATGTAAACATTCAGATATGAAAACTCCAAAAGGTATCACCAAATAGAAGTAAAGTCCCCGAGTATAAATCATCTAGGGAGTGAACCTGTCACCAAAGAACAGATGCCAATCACCAGAGGGACAATCACCAAAATTGACAGCATCATCCCTGTGTCATTCAGGGCAATTATTTCAGTGTTCAATTTAAAAATATATATTTGTGTTAAATCCCAAAGCAATTCAAGATGAGGAAGTTACTGTATGCGTAATGCAGATGCTTACAGATACCCCCTCAATAAAAACAAAATCCCATACCCCTATAATCATCATTTTATGCTTCCCATTGCATTACTATTATCCTCCTCTATATCTCGTGCTTTCCTAACAGCTCCCAGTACAGCAGCACAGGTACAAATTAACTCTGCCCTCAGCATTGGTGTAGATGCAGAATTCACATAAGCGTTGGTTACAAACTTGGGTCAGGTACATTTCTTGATGAAATATTACTCTGTCATAAGCGTGTATGATTCCTGTGATTCTAGTGAAAAATCTGAACATAATAGATTTGTCTTTTTATACACACAAACCTAATAGGAATGAGATATTTGAAGCCAGACTATATGAATTCTGAGTATACAGAAGTCTCCTGTTCCTTAACTCGAATCTCTGGGAGGTTGCCGAACTGATAGCGAGCAGTTGTTTATGATTGGCATGCAGACACTCGTTATTAGGTACAAGACTGGGTCATTTAAAAAAACCTCCTTCTCCCTGGAATGTTTTTGAGCCACTATTCCGTGAATGAGAGTGATGAGCGTGTGATACGGGTGTGAAAGGAAAAGAGATGAGGGCAGGTTTTGTACATATTAATCATAAACATAACTCCACTAACCTTTGTGTGGCCTCTCACATCATTATAGAGGGAATCAGAACATTTCATTTTACAGTGTGGGTTAAACGGCTGTAAACATGTGAACATTTTTTAAAAAAATTACAGGAATGAGAGAATGTCCGTGAATACCCAGAAACTAGTGTTTTTTGTTAAGTTTTTTTATTATCATACAGTTCGGATAATACAGATTTCTGTAGCAATCGTTGTTTTTAATGTTTAACATCATACGTTTAGATACATGTTGACAACAAAAAGCCTTTACAATTTTTAAAGGGGCATTTCCCCCTTATTTTTAATACATCTGCGTGGAGAACACCATTTAAAACATATGCAAAAAGAACCAAAACCCCCCAAAAAAACAAACTCTGAAGTTGCTGAATTTGCAATAAGTTTAAAAACTTTGGCTTTCCAGAGGTTGGGTATACTAAGACAAGGAAGTGCTCAGCCAGTATGCCCCAATAACTTCCTATGTCTGTTGACAATATTGTATAAATCCTGCGTGGCAGGCTTCTGGAAGTTGTAGTTCCGTTTTTGGCTTTTTATTTGTAAATGTTGTTGTCTGGACTACAACTTCTAGAAACGTTTGCTGTGCTTCATAATATGACTGCGTTATTGGAGAAACGCTGCATGATTGGAGGCACAGATGAGGAACCGTGACTTCATGCATGCCAGTTGAATAATCTGCAAAATGGGAGAATTGTAGACTGGGGAAGTTGGGACAGAGCAGGATTAAAATGCAGAATGTTGAAAAACATTTTTTTCTGCAAGTGTTTTTTTGCGTAAAAAGAAAAATAATAGAGAGAGATTTACGTTTAGGTGGCTTCTCCACAATATCCATGAAAAGTGTTGCAGTGCTTTTTCTCAAGTACATTGCATTTTTGTTAGTTCTTTAACCAAAAAAAATGAGCAGTATTTACAAAATGCATGTAAGTCCTCCAATTGTTTATTAGAGTAGGAATAGCATGCAAAAGTAGTAGTAGACACACTATCCCTTTGCTCTGAATTTTATTAAAGACACGGAGGCTCCTATTATGCATATCTCTTTCTTTATTACTCTCAGCAGCAAAGAAATAGAGATGAATAAATACCTGAAATTAACAAAAACAAAAACCAGTACAGTGCCCAAGCAACCAATCACCTAACACAGGAAGTGACTATAACAGGCTTGAGGCACCCACAATCCCCCTCTTTCTTTGCTGCTCTTAGACCAGTTAAGTACCACTTTATTGTGCTCTGTTAGACTCTGCTTGTTGTGATGTTTTTAAGTGTTATTTTGCACCTATTTGGTTGCTTGGTCTGTTATTTGGCCTGTTCATTGCCTTTCTGACTGCTTTTAGTTCGGCATTGCTGTGGTGTGTCCCCTCTGGGTCCATCTCTCACCCGAGCGGCTTCCCCGAAGCCCGCCTTTTCCCTCCCCCCCCTCCCCACCGCCTCCTAGTGGGTGGCAAAGCCCGACTCTAATCGGGCTTCGCTCGGCGGCCCCTGCATATGTGAAGGTTGGGCCGTGTGGCTCCTGCGTGCGCGCCCTTCCCCCCTTCTGCATACTGCCCTTGATTTTCCCCTGCCACGTGCAGTGGCCATTTCTTTCCCTTCCCTACTGCGTTTTCCGGCGGGACCCTCTATGGACCCCCCATTCCTCGAGTCTGGGCACACCACATGCCAGGTACTATTATTTGCTGGTTTAATGTATGTATATGTCTGTTTTTCTCTAGTGCATTTTCTTTTGCTGTGTGTTTCTCTATGGGTTAATAAACCCTATTCCTTTTCTTTCAGTATACCTATCTAGTAAAATATTTTCTTTTAAGACAATTTTGAATTCATATTTCTATTCCAGTGTTCAAACTTTAGGGAATATTTCTGTAATGTTTTGGTATAAACAGTGTATACAATCCTATAATTATATGCATACCAGCATGCACATATTCTACCCATATAAAGAGAGGACCTTGGGCCTAGAAATTTATAATCCTCAATTCACACCGAATTTGTATACATGATATGTTCTGCTATGCACAGAGCGGGTACAACATAATTTTGGTATTCTACTTACTAAACACAGGGGTATATCCCACATTATGCAGGCTGAGGATGATGGGCCCGAAAGCCAGCTTGGGATTTCCCTCAGTGATTGCCTGAAGAGCAAAATGCATTTCAAGTCTCATCTGATGCCATATGGCATCTTTCCCCCTTAAGGGCTCTGGCCTCTGCGATGGGAGCGATGTCATCATCGTTCTCCCAGACGCTGGCACAAGCCCTTTTATTGCCCCAGAGGCTTCCCCTACCCTGCTGGGAACAGGGTTCCCCTTCTGCCCCTGCCTCGCGTACGGTCGTAAGGCTAGGGCGAAGGTCAAACCCTTCACCTCCCACTCCTCGATGCAGGTGTCACCTGCCCTGACAGACTCGCTTGAGGCAGTCACGGATGGCGCGCTACCACCGCACAAGAGAGCCCCTGGCTGGGCAAAAACGGTCGCATACAGCCTGGAGTGAGGAGACTGACTAAGAGGAGGTAGATTATGCCTCCTACGATGAGGCCAGCTCAAAGGAGGTAGTACCCCCCTGCCGTAGCGACCCGTCCTGGGGTTACTTCTCCCATTCAGGGTGCTGCCGTACAGAGGGCAAGTGATGGTGCAGCACTTCTGGATCCTCAGGGTAACCGGAGCGATAGGCTGGGTCCAACGGGCTATTTGCCTGCTAGGCAACGCAAATATGGCCATGTCGGCCGAACGCCGCAAGGTAATACTCCTTTAGATTGATCCCAACTGGCTAGTATGGCCATATCAGTGTCAGGTCCCTCAGCTGAGGGGATGTTGTTCGGGGACAACTTTATCAGTGACCTGGGGTCATATGTTAAGACTTTCATTGCCATGGCCAAGTTCAGGCGAACATAAAAGGGTTTTTTCTCCCTGAAGGTTTTACAACAGATGCTTGGGTTCTCCAAGCGTCTCGGGGTTACCGTTTAGAACTTGTACCCATACCTGTCCAGGAATTTGCCCCCAGGGAATCGTGCCTGTCTCAGGAACAGGAATTATCAATCTCCACGGAGATCAAGGACCTATTCGACAAGGGAGTGATCCAAGAGTTGCCGTTCGCCTATCCGGGTTTTCCGAGCAACCTCTTCTTGGTACCAAAGACAGGAGACAGAGTACGTCCCGTTATCAACCTCCGGCCTCTCAATGCTTTCCTATGATACCAACATTTCCAGAGGGAGGACATCCATTGCCTTCGTGACCTTCTCCAGGTGTCAGACTGGATGGTCAAACTAGACTTGAAGGACGCCTATTTCAAGGTCCCTATGACGGAAGAACACAGGGATTTCCCCCAATTTACTTGGAGAGGGAAGCGGTAGAGGCTGACATACCTACCGTTCGGACTCTCATCGGCTCCTTGGTGTTTCACCAAAGTCAGAAAACCAGTAGTGTCATTCCTCCGAACCTGAGGTATTCGTCTGATTATATATTTAGACGACATCCTGCTCGTGACCCAATCAGGAGATCAACTAAGCTTATGTATGAACTGGACGACAGCATTATTCCAAAACGTGGGTTTTTTTCCCTGGTCACTTGGGAAAAGTCGGAACGGCAAAGCCATCTCCTGATCAATCCCGGGTGTGGTGATCGATTCGAACGCCAGCTTACACGGCTGGGGTGCGCGTTGTGACACCGTTCCTACTGGAAGCAGATGGTCGGAATTAGTGAAGACATTGCACATCTATTGTCTAGAACTGTTGGCAACGTTTTTTAGCGATTCGCAACCTTACCCCCCGATCGAGCGGACTGCGGCGTGATGCTCAGAATGGGCAATGTGTTTGCGGTGCGTCACATCACCCACCTAGGGGGCACAAAGTCGCGCATGTTGATACTCCTAACGAAGGATTTTTGGCAGTTCTGTATCCACAACACCGTCTCTGTGAAGGCGGAACATATTCCGGGCCTGGACAACTCGACGGCCGATTGGAACTCACGTTATTTGAGAGACTCCGGAGGCTGGCACTTACACGCTTCGGCGTTCATAGGATTGGAACGGTTGTGGGACCCATTCGAAGTGGATCTCTTCTCATCTCGACTCAACGCCCACTTGCCGAGGTTCTACAGTTGGAGACCGGATCCGGCTACGGGGGTGTCGGACGCGTTCCTTCCTGACGACTCGTACGTTCTCGAAGTTGACTCGACACGAGTGCATAATGGTGTTGGTCGCTCTCCTGTGGCGTTCACGACCGTGGTTCCCTCGGTTGCTGGAGTTGGCAATAGATTACTCGCGGTTGCTCCCAACTCTTCTGAATCTCCTGGTGGACCTGGACGGAAACTTGTACGAGTTGGTGGTATCTGCTGGCATCTCATGGCATGGCTCCTTTTCAGGGGACCTTGGACTATCTCGGGAGTTCCGCAGTCAACTGTCAATCTCCTAGACAATGCATGGAAACCAGGCATTCGATCGGCACACCGGTCCGCCTGACGAATTGGTCCAGTTGGGGCGTGGAACAGACTAGGGATTCCGTATCTGCACCTCGGCATATGATTCTGGAATTCTCGACTAGTAGGTTTGAGTCGGGGAAGGCGTAGCACACCATCAACCTGGATCGTTCGGCTTTTTCAGCTGGACTTCATGGTCTGGATGGGTCACCTATAGGTAGACACCTTTTCGTGTATCGTCTGCTTAAAGGGATTCACCTTGATAGACCACCTAGAGCTAGAACTGTTGCCTTTTGGGACGTAAATGTAGTTCTACAGTTTTCTGTCATCTTGGTATCCGACTCTAGATTGGATGCTGAGACAACTGTCAGCTAAGGTGGCTATGTTCTTATGCTTGATTTCATGCATGGGTGTCGGATGTCAGAGCGTTCGACTGGAATGCCGTTACGTTTCCCTCGGGGGGCATCTCCTTTAACATTTCCAGAAGGATGAAGTCGGCTTCGAAGGTTTTGTTGGCTGGAATTAACACGTTTATCTTCACTCCCCATTCGGTTCCTATGCTTGGTTGTTGCTTGGAAGATATCTTATGAGCGGCTGATTGGTCACAGGAATCAACTTTTTTGTGATTTCTATTTCAGGCCGATCGATCATTTTGCATCTCAGGTGGTTTCTAAGCTTTGAACTTGCATAATACTCGCCTCCGTGTCTTTAATAAAATTCCCAGATTTTACTATTAACATGACGTAAAGTCATGATTTTATTAAAGACATGGAGGCGAGTATTATTTCCAACCACCCACCCAGTTGTGGAAGGGTGTGGTGTCGGTGTGGTTATGGATCGGTAAGTATTCTCCTTGGAGATTTCTTTTTTTTTGTAAATCTTCTCCTTGGAGATTTCATATGTTTTCCTTCTCTGACATTGTATGTATTGGTGAATCATTTGCTTCCGTTATGCCTATTAGAATGTTCCACGGTGCTAGGTGACTGGTTATATTTAGATTGATTGCTTATATGTTTATGTACGCATACCGTTTGGAGTCCAGAAGTTACCATAGTTTTCTTCTGTGTCTCCTTTTTAGCCTGAATTTCTCGGGTTTTTCCATGTTGGCGATGCTGTTGGCTACGTTAGCTGAAGTTTGGTTTCCTACATACTGGTCTTCGTTATCCGCAAGAAAGAGGGGGATTGTGGGTGCCTCAAGCTTGTTATAGTCACTTCCTGTGTTAGGTGATTGGTTGCTTGGGCACTGTACTGTTTTTTTTTTTTTTGTTCATTTCAGTTATTTATTCATCTCTGTTCTTTGCTGCTGAGAGTAATAAAGAAAGAGATATGCATAATACTTGCCTCCGTGTCTTTAATAAAATCATGACTTTACGTCATGTTAATAGTAAAATCTGGGAATTGTGTGTGACTGTGCTATGATGCTTTCTCCATCATAAATTACATTGAGAATGATCTGTGTGCACACACTTACATCCTGACTGGTGAGCAGCTTTGTGCTTTGTGGCTTTCAAGCTGATAACAGGTCCTGTTACTTCCTGGTTTGGTTAGCTCAGTGGAGCTAAACTCAAGAGACAGGTAATAGCTCAGAGCACCTGCCTTGCAAAGGCTTCTCCTTGAGCTGCATTGGGAAGTCTGTGATTGGACAGCCACAGAAAGTCTGGGAGGGGGTAGAAGAGTAGGTTTTGTAAAGGCAGCAGACTCCAATGCAAAGGGCACATAACTCCACTGAATAAAAAAAATGCATAATTAAATGCATACAACTTTTCATTTTAGCTATATCTACTAAACATTGCTTTTCATTTACTTAGCATTTTGGCAGTGGAGTGTCCCTTTAATGAACATAAAAACACACAGTTTAAAAATACCATTATTCAATTGTTATATAATGGACACTTACATCAGTTATACAAAACACCTTCATTAGACCCATCCTATATTAGATCTCATTTGAGTAAACCATTTGTGGTGTGCTCTTTGTACAGGGTCTGTATATTTTAAATTATATATATATTTTAAATTATATATATATATATATATATATATATATATATAATATAAATAAAACGCCAGTGAGAATCCCATAGAAAGTAGGAGGATTCCAGTTTCATTGAAATTCTTTAAAAATCAGGCCTAAAAACTTCGGGAAAAAAAGTTTTGGGATGTAAATTTATTTATATCTTAGTAAAGTAGTAATTGGTGCATTATGGATATATTCACTAAACCGGAAATCGACAAGTGAATTTTAAGCAGAAAAAATTGCTGAAATTGTAAAAAAAACAAAACAATAATCTTGATCTATTTTTCCAAGATCAGATATTAGGCCTACATTCATTCATGCAATTCCTATCTCATACACCAGTTTGAAGAATACTCCAATGTGATACTGATACAGAAATGGCCTTTAACGCAGTATGAATACAATGTTAAGCTTCACTTGTTATTAGGCGCCACAGTAACTTTAAATCAGAATAAATTACTGCCCCTTTTAAAACATTTAACTTCATCCAATCACTTCCTTATCCATATTTAAAAAAAAATTTTTAATTATATTCGACTTATCTTCCGTTTCATGATCGTTGATCCGCCTCGTGTTGCCATGAAGTAATAAAATCAGATGAGGAGTCCATGAATTAAACGCAGGTTTACCAATGCTTCTGTAGCCAGGCATAAGAATATTCGTAGACCAGCAACATGACTGCACCTCCTGCAAAATATTTAGATTATTACATTTATTCTGCCCTAAATTATTTAGGTCATTGTTGCTGAGAGTTAGCAGAGAAAGATAAAGGCACTGGGGTCTCTAAATTCAAATAATCGAGCTATATGAGAAGAGGGCCAAATTGTGCAGTGACAGGAGAGCTTAGAGCGTATGTTTCTACAAACAGAGATTGTAAGATTTTTACTTGAATGCTGAATAAACCACCACACCCACTCCCGTTGCCCCCCCAAAAAACGTGAGACCTTAGTATGTTGGGTAAGAGCAATGGCCACAGCTTTATTCATTAACAAATGCCAGCAACTTCTTAAACCCTGTCGGCTGTTGGGATGCTTCACCAACAGAAAGATCTATTCCATGGAACCATGAGTCCGGAGCAGCCTTCCCCCGCCATCAGCTCTCAGCAGGCTGCAACTTCCCAAGCCACCTCGGCACCTTCTTCAGCTTATAACTGCGCTGGCCAGGACTCCCGCATGCTCTGACAAAACAGGAAGAAAAAAAAAAAAAAACAACGCGTACACAGACACAAACCAAGGTTCCTCACCAGACTACCTAGGGAAGGAGGGCGGGAAAGTCAGGATCCCTGCACTTTTCTTAGCTGACTGGTAAGTCCCCAGCCAGGGAGCCCTTATATATATGATCCCCACTTTGTAACAATTGTATCCATAATGTCCCAACCCTTTATCTTTGGCAGCCTTCTTTGTCAGTCCAGGGTGGTTCTTGACTGCTGACTAAACCACCAAACCCACTCCTGTTGCCCCAATAAAACACATGAGACCTTAGTATGTTGTGTAAGGGCAACGGCCACAGCTTTATTCAATAACAAATGCCAGCAACTTCTTAAACCCTGTCGTTTGTTGGGATGCTTCACCAACAGACAGATCTATCCCATAGAACCATGAGTCAGGAGCAGCCTGCCCCCGCCATCAGCTCTCAGCAGGCTGTGACTCCCCAAGCCACCTCAGCACCATCTTCGGCTTATGACTGCGCTGGCAAGGACTCCTGCCACCGCGATGATGACCAATTACTGCTCTATCTAGTGGCCATCGCACCCCTCGCAGA